TATATATTATCAGGGAATAATACTGCGTGCGAGTTTTGTCTAAAACATTTTTTTTTAAATAATCATAAATCATATCAGATTTTGACAGGTAGCTGAATCTTGTGAACTATTGTAATAAACTAACTAATAAACTCACCTCTAATAAACGTGTACACTCGAATTCTTCTAACTGTTTCTGGAATCCTAAATTCGGATTAGCAACCGCTCTGCCAGCTCGTACGACTTTAAGGGCTTCTTTCCAAGTAAGGGTTGTGACGGACATGATATAAGCCACAGCTACTGTTACACTACGAGACATTCCTGCCAAACTGGAAAGAAATCTATTGTAATTTTATGTACACAGAATACTCCTTAACAGCGTATTTCGGAATGAGATTTGTTCGTACATTTCCTAAACGGATAAGTATCTTTAGTTTTCGGAATAAATGATCACAATCAATTTTTTATTGCGATTTGTCTTTCTGCTTCTTCGATATTATAATATTTGAGTAGAGTAAATAGTATACTCAGTAAAATTCCCTGTAAAAGTAAAATACACAACCAGAAAAACAAATATGGTTACTTTAGAAAGTTTTTCATACAGGATGTTTAAAAATATGTGTGCAATAATCTTAGGAGTAATAAATTTTTTTAAAATAAGACTATTTTTTCTTATGACCAGAGGTCTACTATCTTTTGTTTTTAAGAGAGGATCAAAGTTATTTCTTTTATAAATTATTCCAATAACTCCAAAGCTAATAAATACAGGGTGTTAGAAGTTTGACTGCCTTAATTTTAACAGACGATAGAATACATTAAAATAAACAAAAAAACTTTATATGATATGGGTCCTAAACTCAACCATATCTGAGAAAAAAAATTATCAAAATTTCCAACTTGACAAAAGTTAAGGCTAAGCTAAGGAGTATTGAACTGCGTGCATAGAATACCATAAAATACAATATTTATCAATTTTCTGAACTTCTTTATGATTAATTCTAAAAAATAATTAGCGTTGTAATAAATTTAAAATTCGATAAAATTCATATCGGCAATGTGACAACGGAGCGGCGGTTTATTAACACGAGGTACTAAGGTGTCCAGCAACCACCTATACGGAATTCAGTTCGTATCTGGATTCAACCGTGTCGGAGTGTTTTTTGCGTACCACTATTTCCTTTTCTTGAGGTGTTTTCCAACGCGAAAATTGGATTCGAAGGTGTTGTGCGTGCATCGAAAATGGTGGTGGACATTTTGAGCATATGTTGTAGTTTGTTTTGTACTTGTGCGTTTAAAAATTACTGAATTTTGTTTTTTGGTAAGTACCTAAATTATCTTTAATACGTATGATTATTTGGATGACGTGAATCTTTGGGTACTTTAATTATATACTTTTCAAATTCATAATTTGATGAAAAAATCAAGTTCCTGTTTTAAGAGATTCATAATTACTAAAATTCGAGCTAAAATTTAAGCACAACACTATCTTCGTACTACAAAATCGATACATTTTATTTAATTTATTTAAAAACAATTGTCTTGAAATTTACTAAATGTTTTACAATAATAGTTGTTTACATTTTTTCCGTAGGACAAGTCTGTCGCGTGTACACGTGGTGTGCATCAGCAGGTTAAGCGCTGTTGTCACGTTGTGATGAAAGTCCCCAATATTAATACTCTCTGTATTTTGAAAACTTTTAATATTACGCCCGTGTAATATGCAACTTTCTTTGTTCATTTATGATTACTCTACTTCATGATGAAGTAATGACAGTCAAACTTCTTACACCCTGTATATCTTTATCAGGTTGTATACAGGCTATTACAAATTCGCTTCTCACTACAGGAATCTCGAAAACGGTAAGAGATACAAACTAGCTTAATTGGGGGCAATCAGGGGACCAACATTATGCCTCTAAAAAATCAAGGCTAACATGAGTTTTCGAAATATTTGAAAAAAAACGAAATTTTGGAAATCCGTTTTTGTTTCATTTCAGCCTTGTTTGAGGTGATATTGAAAAAAGAAAAACACTTTATCATGGCCACTTTTTGCCTTCTATCGAATGGCATAATCAATTTTTATATGTAACGTTTCGTCTCTCCAAGACCATCATCAACTTCATTTTTTTAAATACGACTCTAGAAATTTTATTACATTTTTTGCAGGTGCCTCAACCCGAACAAGATTCAGAGGTTTTGTGTCGAAAAATTCATCTTCAGTGTATTCGTTCCAAATTTATCTAATTTTTTTTAGATTTCTATGATTATTGAATTATTGTACACTGTAAGTGTGAAAAACTGTGCCAGTATTTAGTATTTCTGCAATCATTATAGTACCAATCCTTTATTATATTATGGAAAGTTAGTAAATAAACCAAAATATTGTGCAACCTGTCATATGACATGTATATATAAATGTAATTAGAAAAATTAATGGATTCTAAAAAATATACAGGGTGTTCCATTAGGAAAAAAAAAACGTTTGGTTTATATCTCCAGATTGGGTAATTATTTTTCCATATACTTACTATATTTCTTTGAAATCGCAAGAAAGACAAAAAATAATTATGTGAATAATCCTGTACATACAAAGTTTGAGGTCCATATCTTCATTATAAACTACGTTTCACATTTCATTTTCAAGGACAATAAAGCCTTTATGTGAATAGTTTCAAGGAAAAAATGTTTATTTGTTTGTATATACCGTTATTTGAGCTAAATTTGAAGCCATAGAAATATGTACCTTTATTTTATTTCCTTACGTTTTTTGGCTCATGGTGTGTAATTTATCGAATTTAATTACCAGGAATTTTTGCCGTAGGTATATTAAAATCCATTATTTTATTACTGTAAGTGTTATTATTCTCTAATGGTGTGCCATTCTAGATATGAGTAATCTGCTCATTGCATGACCTACGACTTTTTTTATGTTAGATTTACCTAGATTTTTAATGCTTGTCGTTTCTATCTCTAGATCAATATGGAACGGACTGAAACGTAGGTAATTCGTTTTTTTTTTTGGAGCACAAGAAATATGAACCGTTGTATTTCCCTCTTCTTTCAATATGACAACATAAGGAAGCTAAAATCATGTATTTTTTTAGTAAAAGTTTAAGAATAGTCATAATTATTGAGAGCAATTTTATTACCATCAAGTTAATTATATTAGCATTCCCATTCTCATTAATATTGAGATTATTGTAACAAAATCAATCAATTTCACTGTTATTACATATTTGCCATTATAGATGATTTTACCCTGTTTCATTAATTTCAAGATCCATTGTACCTATCTTATAGATTTCTTCACAGTATTAGTTTATTAAATGAAGATAGGTGGGGTACATATATTTTTCATAAACATATCTCATTATATTTAATTAATAAAACTGGCACACAAAGTAAAAAAATGGGCTGACATGGAGGTCTCACTAGGTGTTATATAGATATATCTTTACGTGCTAAATCCGAATGGAAACAAATACGCCTGTATTTCCATTGTACGCTCAACTTATGTAAACAAGAGATACGTTCTACAAAAAATTGAATATGGAGAGGATTTGGATAAAAGCGAGAATTATTTACAATACTTAACCAGTCAATTTCCGAATTTAAGTAATGCAAAACTGAAGAAAGCATCTTCGATGGACCTCCTCAACTCCGAAATATGTACACTCTAAAAAAATTTCACTCAATTTTACTCCATAATGTATCAATTTCTGTCCACACTTGATTGAGTGAAATTTCACTCTGTTAGTATGAATACAACTGAGTGAAACTATTGCAACAGTGTGAGTGAGTTTTACTCAAATCCGAGTTACTGCTAACTATCAATTGAGTGACTTTTGACTCTATTCTGAGTATACAGGTTCGGAAAGTCCTTATGGTACATCGGCCGTTACGTGAGAGCGATAAAGTGAGTCATAAAAATCCGTGCGATAGTGAAAGATGGCTATAATGAAGGCGTCTAAGTCACCGCCCGTTTCGCCCTTCCACAAATAAGATCCACTTCCACTTGTAATTCAGCGACCGGTGGTCATCTTTGTTTTCGTCGTTTGCCTTTTCTTTAATAGATGTCACTACTTTCTACATTTTCGACTCCGGTATTCCGATATGTTAATACAATCCGTTAACAGAGGGCAAAGTATACTTAAATAACAACTAAATGAACTTTAAATGCAGCTGAGCTCTATACTCCATTTGAATAACTTCTCAGTAGGGGAAACAAGGTCACTAGATTTACAAACAAAGGTATCTACTAGCTACTGTAAAAAGTTTTCTTTGTTACGCGTTGTGCTGCCCTCTGTTAACGGATTGTATTAACATATCGGAATACCGGAGTCGGAATTGTATAAGTAGTTACATATATTAAAGAAAAAGCAAACAACGAAAACAAAGATCGCTGAATTACAAATGGAAGTGGATCTTATTTGTGAAAGGCCGAAACGGGCGGTGACAATGAGACGCCTTCATTATAGCCATACTTCTCTATCGCACGGATTTCTATGACTTACTTTATCGCTCTCACGTAACGGCCGATGTACCATGGGAACTTTCCGAACCTGTATAAAACCAATTTAGAGTTGACTTTTTCTCGAATATGATTTAAATTTAACTATTAATGAGTCATTTTTTATTTAGACTTGGTTCTTAATTAACTAAATATTGAGTGTAAAAATAAATCACCCGTGAATGATTAGTTAGGATATACAGTTTCAAATTAGGAGAAATATTGCCAAAATAATGTCTCAAATTTACATTTCCTTTTGATAGCATATTGAAATGAATGGAAACTATACAAGTATAAAACAGAAATTTAGCATGTGAAGGGATATTAAAAAAAATAGAGAGATAGAGAAACTTTTAAAATAGATAGTGAATTATGAAAATAAAGGATTTTACAATTTTTGTTATTTAATTATAAGTAAATAAGGTACAAAATTAAGTGCAGTGGAACAATCTATTTACCCGCGTGCGGTATCGGGGAAACGAAAAAAAGAAAAAAAAAAGAGGAGATTGTTTTGTAATTTGAAGGGTCAAAAAGTCTGAGACAGAAAGAAAGTTAAATTAGAAGAAATAAAAGAAATTGTGGAAGACAAGAATTTAGATAAAGTATATTCCAAAGGTTTGCTGCGAGAGAAGACCATAGAAGAAATAATAATATTCATAAGGAGACAAGAACCGGCCATGGGCGTGGTAATATTTCGTTTTAGGTAATTATCGGTTAACACTAATGCTAACAGGTAAAAATGTCATTCGCAGAAAAGTACACTCATTTTATTTTAAAAAAGAAATACCATACCAACGCTAAGCAAAATTTTAAGTGAACTTTCAGAGGACAACGATTTGCCAAAAATCAGTAGAAGCAAATTATGGGCCGTCTTACGAGAGTTGAATTTTTGCTGGGAAAAGCAGAACAGTCAGTTCTTATCGATAAAGATGAAATTATTTGTTGGCGAAGATCCTACTTAAGATCAATTAGAAAATTCCGTGACGAAGGGAGGAATATTTATTATCTAGACGAAACTTGGGTCAACGAGGGATATACTGTAACAAAAGTATGGCAAGATAAAAATGTAAAAAGTTTTCGACAAGCATTTTTGGATGGACTTTCAACAGGGTTCAAGGCACCTTCAGGTAAAGGGCGAATATTAATAGTGACACATATAGGTAGTGCCAGTGGTTTTGTAGATGGCGGTTTACTTTTATTTGAATCTAAAAATACAGGTGACTATCACGAAGACATGAACGCAGATTTTTTCGAAGAGTATTTTACACAGATGTTGGATCTTATTCCTCCGGGGTCTGTAATTGTCATGGATAATGCCAGTTACCATTCACGGCAGACCGAGCGGACGCCTACGACTGCTTGGAGGAAAGCCGATATAATTCAATAGTTATCAGGAAAAAACATTTGTTTTGAAACAAATATGGTGAAAAAGGAACTTTTGACACTTGTCAATCTAATAAAGATCAGAAAAAATATGTTATCGATGAAATGGCAACAAATCGCCAAATAACGGTACTACGGTTACCACCTTACCACTGTGAACTTAACCCAATCGAATTAGTCTGGGCGCAGGTAAAAGGAGATGTAGCGCGAAATAATACGACGTTTAAATTAAGTGACGTGAAAATTTTGTTAAAAAATTCCTTGGAACGAGTAACTGCAGATAACTGGCAAAGATGTATACATCATGTACAAAAAGAAAAGGAGATAATGTGGGAACTCGATAATTTAATTGACGTTACTGTGGAACCTATCGTTATCAATCTAGGAGACGAAGATAATTCATCAGAATATTCAGAGGATGAATTTTAATATACCTACTTTTTTATTTTCTTTATTGTACATTTATACAACACTACATTTACTCACCATAATTTGAATTTTCAAAATACATATATTTTTGTGTGGAATAAAAGTCTATTCATTAAATTTAAATAAATATTTTGATAATAATACTGAATAATTTTATTTGAATTACTAAAAACACTCTTAACCCGGTTATGATGCTTAAAGTAGCCTCATGTTTTGAAATGCTGTTTTTATATTGTTTACTTATAAGAGAAATGGACCGAGAAATTGAAGCGGCATAGACAAAGACGGATTGTCGGGGATTAAATTTTAGCTACCTGCTACAATTTAGTACAACCCGGTCACACAAAGTTTTTTTAAAAGTACACCTCATCTATACCGATAATACATAATATAAAAATATTGAATATAAGCACCAGTACTACATTTATTTACGATTTGTATACATAATAAGCTTTTATTACTCTCTTTCATTTATAAACAGACTATAACTGGGAATAAAGTGGTTTTGTAGTAGGAATAGTAAGAAATGGAAAGAGTTGACATTAAACTGAAAAAAAGAAAAGAAGAAGGATAAGAAAAGGTTTTCAGAACGAGCATCAAGGTGGAGGATAAAGACAAGAAATAAGACAATAGAAAGTTGTGTGAATAGGTAATAGAAACTGTATATTAAAAATTATTATTGTTGGAAAGGTGGAATCATTCGGAATGAGGACATTTGCTCTGATTTAGATACAAGTGCACCAAATACGAGTTTACGTGAAGAATTTATTTAAGGAGTACCTGTATTTGAGTGAATGTACTCAGTTTTAGTTTAAATATAACCACAAACGAGTAAAATAATCAAAATATCCAAAATGAGTGAAAATGTACTCAATAATTTCACTCAATTAATTCACTCCGAACTTTTATTATTGTCATTCACATCGACGTTTTTACAGTGTAATAAAAATTTGTCACTGTATTTTAAAAAATGACGCTTTGTAAGTGGGGTAGGCGGCATTTGGTAGGCGGCAGTTGGACTTACGAACTCTTATTTAATTGATTTTGTTTTGATGAAAACGGTAGCTACAAATATTAGCAACTATTACACTAAGAAACTCAGAGATAATATCTATCAACTATCAATAGCTCCTATTTTTATTAAATCGACATAAGCTTCTGTAATCTTAAGAGCTTTTAAATTTTCCCACTTCACTGAGGGATGGGTATACACTACAGAAGGAATAGCTTCGTATAACTTCTTTGGGTTAAACGATTGAAATGAATTGGTGGCGTTTCCTTATATTGTGACTACCTAGTCTAAATAATTACCAATGAATTAAGACATTTCCATCTCGAAGCCTAGCGGCGTGGATAAAATCGTTGCATAAGGAAAAATACTGTGTTAGATTTTGATCCGGGGTGTCTGATGCCATAACACACAAGTAATGTTTGTCCTGAAACAAAAAAAAAATACATATGACTAAATAACATTAAATTAAATATAAAATTAATACTGAACTAATTAATTAATTAGAATTAATGCAGTCCAGTTTTCTTTTGTACGTTCTAAACTGGAATACTGTTCTTCGACTTGATACCCTAAATATGGCAATCTATTGAATATGTTCGAAGAAGATTGAACTTCAAATTTCGTTAGTTAAGGAAACAAAAATTCCTTGTCGAATAGTTATTCTTGTTTACCAATAAAATTGTTTTATTTGATGCTGATTTTATCCTGGCCAGTGTTGTATTGGCTTTAGTTGAGTAACGTAATCGATACCTGTCTAGAACTCGCTTTTAATCTATACAAATGAAATTTCGAGATAAATCAATTGTGACATTAACAGGGCTTTGTATCTAGTATATTGCAGTGCACAGATATTCATTGGAGTTGATTGGAATGTTAAAACGTTTAGAATAAAGTACAATGTTCTTTTAATATGTAACTTTGTTCCTAGAGCCTGTTCTAGACGCATGCACATTCCGATAATTATAATTTTTTATTCACACCTTTCAGGATTTCCGGATATAATATGAAAATATTTGCTTAAAATTAATTTTTCTGTTAGGTACCCTTTTCTTTTAATGCACTTAACGCGAACACCCTGTATTATTTGTAGAAATCGGTGGCCTTCACTCCTGCTATGCTTTTATAGATTTTATATAATCTATAGTTTTCTAGTCGCTGTACTTTACCTTAATCATATTATTTTCTATACATTTATTTATACACTCTACGTAATATAAGATATTCATTATTAAAATAAATGCATTTACGGTAACTCAAGGTATCTGTTTAATAAATAGGTAAAACACTTCATGTCATAATTAAAAAAATATGCTGCCTCCGCAGATCAAGTAAGGACTACATGAAGTACTTTTTTGTTCTGTAAGAGAATTAGGTCAAGCAGGGCAAGCCTCTTATCTTTCATAAAGTCCCGGATGTATAACCTCACCTTAGCCATTATACAAATTGGTAAACTGATTATGATTTCGTTGGCGTACCTAAATATTGAAATCTTGCTAATCCTTAATTTATCCAGCAAATAATTTCCCGGTCCAAAGTAATAGAAACGTACATACTGAAAGTGAAATGGAAGTACTGAAATAACAAGTAATGCTAGAAATAAAAAACATAAAAATACCTGGGATTCGTTAAGTAGCTTGATCTTTTTAACTACTTATTATTTATTACTATACTTAAAATCAAACTTTAAAGAAACTGTTATCCTAAGTTGCTTGGCTCAGTCGCGTTAAAAGTTTTGTTTTTTCCAAATAATCAAGGTTTAGTCTGATTTAAATAAAATTTGGTATATGTATAGATATCGCTTTTTGACACAGTGGTCAATGTAACTGAATTTACAGAAATGGAAAATATTCCCCATCCGTAAGCAAACACGCTCATATTTTCTATGAAAGCAATTAAAGTAAGTCGGGGAAATTATCAAGTTTTTGCATTGCTTCGCAGGAAGTTAAATACTATTTGCTTTTTGTGACAAAATTTTGGCTTTCTAACCTAAAATTAAGTACGAATTAGAATAATTTTGGGTTTATTCTTTCTAAAGGTGTTTTAAACCGACATGAAGTAGCCAAATTAAAATTATTAACAGTACTATTTACATCTATTCCTTTTATTATTACTCTCTTATTTAAAATAAAAGTATTTTTCTTATCCAAAAAGTATGTTTTAAGGACTTTTTATATTTTTCTGAAGTAAATGTAAAACAAAATGTAATAACAAGAACAATATTATTCACTTTTCTAGGTTAACCAAATATTCTACTAATTTCATAAATCTAGAAAAGTTCTAGTTTCGTGACTAGATAATTGTGTTGAATACCCCGTACAAGAAATGTTAAATTTTCCCAATCCAATCTTACTTAAAAAAACAGCAAAATTTTTTATCAAGAGTTACTTTTTTCGATAAAATGAAAAATAAGAAAGTTTTTCCTATTCAACACCTTTTCTGTGGACATGCTGTAGACTTTCAATTCAAATGCAGTACAGGAAAATTAAATTCAAGTGACTACATCTCAGGAGTGATAGACTTTTACATGAAGGTCTAAATCAAAATTAAGAAATCTCCGAATTTCCATTTGAATCTAAATTCAGTAAAAATACCCTGAAATATGATTAAATTAGGATCCCCCAAATCCTACTGTCAATAACTCCTGTCAATAACTGCTATAAAGAATTAAATCCATTTTTCTCTAGAACGGCGACAATAAAAAGCATGTCAAAAATCATCTGCGGTTTCTCTAAATCTCTATTAACAAAAAAATATTGCGAAAAACAAAAAACTGTTTAGTGTTCTCATCAGTCTCATATTTTAAGTGAAAAAGCTCGAATTTATATTTGACTGCCCCAAACATGCCGCTATATAAAGTTTTATTAAAATATATTTAAAAATGTGGGAGTTATTTAAGAACAAATGGAATAAAAAATGAAATGAAATTGCGCTAAGGTACCTAACTTGATCTAAATGGTTTTATTTTCATCAAAGGAAGCTCAACTTATGGTATAGCCAATTTGCTTCCAGACACCTTATATAATCACTAAGGAAAGATATAAAAAATATTATCTATAAAAATATGTATTAAAACAAATATCCTATTTTATTGACGGCAGCAAAAGTAAGGCAAAAATCATGTTATTAATACTTAATATTATGCTTAGGTGATAAATGAACATAAATGGTATAGTTAGGCTAAAGGCTAAATCCTAAACTGATATAACAATTGATTTTTATTTGTTTATAGTATTTGTGTTCAGATTATAGTTAGTTAGTTTTTATTATCTTTAAATCTCTTCGTAATATATTTTAAATTTACGAAAAAAAGTGGAGCAAAATCGATTCGCTAAAGTCTATACTTACTGTATTTTCAATATGTAAAAAAAATCATTTACGCAGTCACGTAACATCAACCAATCATGGGCAGGGCCGGATTAACCTATGATTAACCGGTGATATAATAATTTCAAAACCCAAACAGTTTTAAGGTTTGATTTAAAAAAAAATTGCCAGATCTTGCCGAGGTCCCTCGATCTCATGAGGTTCGGGGCTACGGCCCCCATAGCCCCCCCTTAATCCAGCCCTGATCATGGGAAACACACATTGCTTTTCATAACAATTATTACTTACGGAATGCACCCTTCTTGCAGTATCATGGATAGCCAATATATGCGTTATGTTGTATTTTGCTAATTGCGAAGAGTCTTTGGAATCCCTATAATTTCCTACGTACAAGCCGGGTAATACCTGAAACAATAAACTTATTTGCAAATAATGATAATTTAAATTTAGTTCTGTCTACAGCAGTGAAGTATTTTGAAAATTAAGTATTTTTAGGGGAGCATTTCTATGAAATTAAAAAGAAATAATAATAAATAAATAAATAATACAATCTAATTTCTTTTGTTGATACAAATAGACGTTTTTTGTTTTTCACAAAATTTACATTTTTCTGAAACTTACAGCATGAAATTTACATATGTATATGCAATTAGGAACAACTAAGAAGCAAATTCAGTTTTGTGAAAAACAAAAAAGTGCTTGCTTGCTAGATCAATTGATTGTGAATAAAAATATTTTACTGATATACCTACAGTATGTTGAGTTTACAAGAGGACAAATGGACCAAAAAGTGAAAGATACGAAAAAAGAAATGTATAGGTATCAAAATTTAACTTCACAAAACTTGTATAGAAAATAGATATAGGTAATGTTTGACGATATTAGCGTGTCAAAATGCAATTTGAAAGTAAATCGTTACACAATATGAATATATTGTTAGGTATAGAAAAGAAGGAATTGACAATTTTATGGATTATACCTATTTTAAATAAACTGAAATGCCAGAAAACTTGCATATACCAAACATAACTTTTACATTATGTGTGGTTTATGCGTGCCATTGTTCAACTCAGCGAACTCGATAATATTAAGCTCAGTGGCGACTCGTGTTTGAAAACCAAACAGGTCAATAACAATTTTTCTATACTGAGCATTGCTAAAGTACGTAACTTTTTTGTCCCGATGTATTTCATAAAAATGTCTTTTTAAAGTTGAAAAATAACGCTCACTTTTGCTATTTTCACGATTGTTTTAAAAATTTCACACTTTTAGAAAAAGTAATACAAAAGTTGTTGTTAATAAACACCTGTAACACAACTGCGCATTTGCTATTATAAAAAATTCTCATTTTAACATACTTTCATACAGTTTTATGTTTTATCTAGTTTATGATTGAATGCTTTCGTTTTAAATAATTTGGAAATACCTCGAAGAAATGTTTTTTTACTTTTAAACTAATCTGTATGAAATAAGTGAAATGTTATTAAATGATTTCTGAAGCCAAACCTTTGTTTAATCTCAGAAATTATCACGGTACTAGTTTGTAATGAAATTTAAAGTTTTAAATCTTCGGTTTTGCATATTTGCGTTGACAAAACATCTTCCAACTGTACTTGCTTGGGACATACGGGCAGATTCCACCAGATATCCCAAGGATATCCTTATAACCTTAGGACAAGTTTGTACTGTTTGGATACGGATTTGAAAGGAAATATTGCATGAAACCCTGCCTTTATGCCAATGTTATTATAATATTTTATCCTAAAGATGTATTCCCTCCTAGAACTCTATTCAACTGAAATTTAGTTTGATATAATCGCCAAAACACTCTCCGGTCAAGGTTAACAGCCACCCCACCTCATTAACAACATAAACCATTAATTTCGCAATCTCGGATGTGTCGATTCATTACAGTTGAGGGAGTACGCCTATTCCCCTGCCAAATAAATTCCATTTCAACCACAGCGAAACGGGGATTGTGTTCTATCTAACATTCATAAAATTTTAAATGCAGTCATAATAGCCTTGAGCTTAATTTAAAATTTTAACACTTCATCTAGTTTTATAATAACAAAGTCATTTTATTTTATGCGCTTAATTATATTAAAATAATACAAAACGTAATTCTGTGATTAAATACAATGTACAAGATGCAAATAATTCTACGTTTATTTCCTTTTCTTTTTTTATATAGAAAACAAGAAAATAGCAAACACCAAAGTTTTATGACATTTTTCTTTTTTTAAGTTTTCCGTTAGTACAATACAGGGTTTCCATTTAGCCATTTAGTCTCTTCTACCAAAGACTTCAAAACGCAAAAAATATCTATTAGTGCTTCACATTCACAAATATGCCTTTTTTAGACCGATCGACATACCTACAATGGTCTATCAATGGCTATAACTAAGTCAATAGCTTTAACTATGTAGCCTTCTATATAAGAGAGATTGGACAATATTTTGATTGATTTACTGAATAGGGAATAAAGTCAATAATGTCAATACGAGTGTATGCTATTCCTTTGTTAAATTTGCTAAAAAATTACATGCATATTTCAAGTAAATCTTATAATATGAATGAAGAAGAACATAAATGATATGATAGCACATAAATTTAATTTTATAATTATCAATGAACATTTTTCCACGAAATTTGGTAGAAACTAATTTTATGGGGCACAAATTTCAGCGGCGAAGTCAGATTTTCAATAAAAAAAATCGCTTACTAATTTATGGCAAATTAAACAACGAAAAAAATTAATAAGTAAATAAGCTTTGATAACAGAGAATGAATTAGAATGTCATGTGAGATAATAGCGTTTTTTAAGCTCTATATTGCATCAGTTACAGCTGGCGATATTCCAAAGATGCGAAACATAGGCTAATAGTCAAAACTAAAGCGAACTTCATTGCAGGACTTCTGCGGACCCATCGAGGACTGTGATTGAACGTCAACCCTGATAATTTCCAATTCAATAACCAGAAACTGAACCTGCCTAGTACATGTGTACGCACCAAACATATATTCTAAAATATACCAATGCCATAAATGCTCATATTTGTTCTGAATTAATACAAAAATCTCAATAAATCTCCTAAAAAATGAATATGAGCTTAAAGCTCCTATTGCTTTATAGCACACTACCACCTAAACTGTGTCCATCCTGCAGTGAAGATCCTGAGGGATACACAGCTCCTAAAGTTGCCATACACAAGCCCTCCAAGGAGTCAAAAATTCAAATTAAGCTCTAGAGCTTCCATATAATCACAAACTCTGAAAGTTTCATTCGAGGGGACTTTAATGAGGCCACACGCACATAAACTGTAATGCCCTAGCGCAGCACTCAAAGATTGTGATACGAGACATTAAAGTGCTCCATAAAACAAAGTGACCAGTGAAAGAACCTAAAGATTGAGTTGAAAATCCACCAATAAAAATCCACGACAATATTAAAGGTTATTTTTCCGGTGAAATAGTGTTAAAAGCAATGAAATGCTAGAATTTCCGGTCTGAATTAAGATGCTTTTAACTATCATTCTTCATTTTGTAAAAGTTAAAACATTTTTGCACTTACTATATGCATGTTTTGTTAAATCCACTAGTTTTTTCAATAAAACATGTTTATGAGTCCCAGTTTCGTTTTAGGCTATTGACCCCCTTTTAGAGTTCCTGTTTCAAGAAAATTTATTCATTCTACAATATAACACTTTTGAATACATGTAACATTCTATTCTAGTAATTTCATTACGTTTATTATTAGTCACGGGCCAATAATTTCATTAAATGCTGCAAATTAATTTTTTTTAATTACAATGGCCGAATAATAATAAAATAATTTAATGAAATGGATATACGGCGTTTAATAAATTTATGCGGTTGGCCGAAGGCAGACACGGATTCAGATTCGGGAAGCGAATTATTTCGTGTCTCTTGTGAAAATATGTTAGTTTATCATGTTTTAAGAGTCCCCTCAAAATATCAGCTCAAAAAAAAAAGTTTTTTCAAGGACGCTCAAGATTTTTAAAAATTTCCAAAATCGTCAAAAATTGATTTTTTTTTCCTCATTATTTTATCATTTTCTAAGTTGAAAAAAATCTCGATTCTGAAAATTTTAAATGGATATTTTAATTTCTAAAGGTCACTCATAATTATTTTAACTTTTAATGTTGTTTTTGAGCGACCTAAAAATAAATATCAATGAACTAATAATTTTTTTTATTGAATTTGATAAACAAAAGAATATAAATACATCACTAAAACATTTTTCGACGTTTGAATTGAAGCAATTTTTTTTCACTCCATTCTGGACACACTGTATATTTAAATTATATTCATTATTCAATAATTGCTATTCTTAAAGCAATTTATTTACGTTTCTTAATTTAAATATGTACGTGATTTATGAACCTTTAAAAGAATGTTATTTTTTGCACATAATATTTGTTATATGCGTATATAAATTCGTGCACGAGAGAAGTTGTTTACAGCAACGTAGCAAACAAAATTCTTATAACAAGACCAAACTTTTATCGCCGCAAAGGGAATAGTTCTAGGACAAGTATTGGAAACGAGGGACAGACAGCTTTTTGGAATTCACATCACGTGAAGAAAATAAATAATGTAAAACTGGCAAAATAAGATTAATTTCATTTGAAACAAATGTATGATTTGTAATTTTCTTTTTGTAGAGAGAATAATCTAGTTCTAGTACTATCGTATTACACTGAGAAAAACATTTGCGTAATTAGTTTACTTTTTTTTAGATAGGTAGTATGTATTCAGAAAAATTTCTATCCATTTTAATAAATAAAAGGGTTTATCGGAACAGAAAATGACAAATTAATCAGGCGTAAGTTAATGTAAAAGAGTAAAAATAATGATATATAGAAAAATTAAATGCCTGAATTTTTTATGTAAGTTAGTTTGAGGTATATAATAACAATAAGTGACAGTAATTTTTTTTTTCATCACCCTGCCAGGGGTGCAAAAAATAAAATAAAGGGGTTTTCAAGATAACTCAAAAGAGATAAGAGCTAGAAAAAAAGTTGTAGAGCATAAAATTATACATAAAAATGGTCTATTGAGTTTTTCTTGTACTATTAAAATTGACAGAGTTAGGGAGACTAGAAGTTAAGGGATGATTTCAGAAATTAAAAAATCAAATTATTTTCCTGATGCATGGAAGCAAGCTTTTGTGATTCCTATTTACAAAAAAAAATTATAAAAACGAAGTTTCCAACTATCGACAAATTAGTATATTATAAGCATTTACTTAGCGCGGTTAAATCGTCTATAATTATTGAGCAACATGGATTTTTTCCACATAGATCTATTGAATCTAATTTAGTAATATACTCTGTATATATTGTAAGTGCTGCCAGACTCAGGTGGATGCCGTGTACACCGATTTTAGCAAAGCATTCGATAAAATTAATCATAATATACTTATATCTAAATTGTCTGAAATTGTATACATGGTAACCTACTGAGATGGCTTACCTCTTATGTTTTCAACATGCCGCAATTGGTAACTATTAGTGGTTACAAATCTCCCCCCTACGATGCAATGTCAGGTGTTCCTCAGGGATCACATTTGGGACCATTACTATTTTTAATCTATATCAACGATATCCGTCATTGTTTCAAATTTTGTAAATTTTTACTCTACGCAGACGATTTGAAAATTTACTCTTAAATAAATAATTCCGATAATTGTGTTGCCTACCAGGAAGATTTGAACTCTTTCTTTGAATACTGTAAATTGAACAAGCTTCAATTAAATTTAAGTAAATGGTTCTATATTTGTTTTACCCGTAACCAAAATATATCCTCTAATAATTATAACTTTAATAAGAATATTTTAAATCAACTTGAAGAAATAAAAGATCTTGGGGTTGTCTTTGACAGGAAAATGAATTTTTCTTCACATATTGATTATATAACTTTAAAAAGCAACAAAATGTCAGAGTTTGCAAAAATTTTAGGTCGATTTTTGCTATTAAATCTGTATATTTTGCATACGTGCACAGCATAATCAATTTTGCATCTATTCTATTGTTTGGAGTCCTCAATATACCATAAATAAGTCTCGACTTGAGGCCATACATAACAGATTTTTGAGATATTTACACTACAAGGACAGTGGTGTGTATTCTTTTCATTGTAGCACGATGTTACGAAATCATTACCATATTTTTTCATTGGAGAATCGAAGAATTATGGCCGAAGCAGTATTTCTGTATAAGCTTCTAAATGATTTTATCGATTCTCCAGATTTATTAGCCTTGATCTGTTTACGTGTACCATAACATGATTTTAGAGCAAATGCACTGTTTCATGAGACTTTTTATCGAACTAATTCTGGTCAAAACTCTCCTATAAATAGAATATGCAGACATTTTAACTTGTATGTACTATAGCACTCTAGATATCTTTCATTCCTCGCTCATTAGTTTTAAAAGATTTTTAAAGGGAACTATTATTGTAAATTAACATTTTCTATTATAATATTATTTCTGTACTTTTATATTCAATTAGCTTTAAGTAATTTGTGGACATTGTTTTGGGCTATAAAGCCTGTGTTTGTCTCCTCCATAAATAAATAAATAAACAAATAAGCAGAAAAATGAATGAATTTTATATATTCTTTTCAATCTACTCTAAAAAATGTAAACTTTTCAGAGAACTAAATATATTTGTTAATTTTTAATAAAAAATTTATAACAATTTCAATTTTTTAATCGTTAATTTTTATGATTTAACACTAAAACAATTTTTTTCTGTTATTCGATTGACTATTTACTTAAAATAATGAAAAGTTGCTCTCGATATTTTGTTTTACGACAAAGATAAAAAATCACGTTCGCTTGGTGAAATTGTTCTTATTAAAAATTAAAAACTATATCTATTTCTCTGAAAAGACATTTTACATTTTTTTTTGGAGTAGATTGAAAAAAAAATTATAAAATCATTCATTTTTCTGCTTGTTAGGATTTTTCTTTCATTTTGAAAGTTTGAAAACAAAGAAATAGTTGATCAAGTCAAGTGTTAATTTTCTTTAAATATGGTAATAACTTTTATGGACTAATTTATTCAAAACTGATAAAAAACAGAAAACTCATTAAAATGAAAAATCTGCAAAACTTAATTCCTATTGAATATAAAAAAATATACGATTTTGGATTTTTTTCAGTAACTGAGCGAACAGTTGTTTTGACAGTAATGAGTATATTTTCCCGCCCTAGATTTCCAACTTTACCAGGAGCATTAGTGCCTTTCGATCAGCTGATGGTGCTCTAAACGTATGTATTAAAAAAGAGCGGTTTCTAAGCATTTCCATTGCGTGTGATAAAAACTAAATAGGCTAAGTATTAAAAGTGTCTAGAATGCTGTTCTAACTTGCCTTATTCATACCGTTTCCCATTTTAACGGGTAGGCTACCACCTTCTTCGTTAGGGTAGCGAACGACTCTTTGAACGCGAAACAACTGACTGAGGACTCCGAGCTTCCCAGCTCCACAACAAGCGCGGCGGCGCTCTGTCTACTGAAGTCGGTCGATATAAATGGTATTAGATGAGTACCAGGTGATACGCGACCACCCCCTGTTCTTTAAAAAAATACATTTACCTACCACAAAAGCCATTGTTTCTTTTATTAACACCGGATTGGCAACCAGATTACGTAACGTTACTTGGTCTATTTTGGTTCAGGCTTTCCACCACTACATCAAAGTAGCCTACAGTCACGGGCGCTGGGTGTGAATACAGAAAGTATTCAATCTATGAATACTGAATCCTCTGTTGAAAAGAGTATCCACGATCCAAAGACAGCTCCCGAAAATTTGAAGTGGTGATATTTTAAGGGATGATATCTAGGCTTGTAGCGAACTTCCATGATGAAAAAATTTCAAATGAAATTTCAAGAATTAAAAAATTAAAGTGGGGATTGTCAACCCTGATATTTCAAAAACGGTTGCACAAGCACTTGCAATATATTTTTTTCATATAGATACAATCAGGTGCTTATTTTTTGCAAGATAAAGCTTTCCTCATAGTGACATACAAGGTGTTAACGAAATAAGTACTCAAAATTGGAAAGTATGTAAAACATGTCGAAATATTATGAAAACCTTAGTAGAGTTTTTGTCAGTGGCGGCCCCCTAAGGGAGATACAGCCCCTTGAAGGGGTAACTCAGGAAACATTTATTGCATAACTTCAAAACGGTTTAATATTAATCGCGAAATTTTGGGGTTGTATTACTATTTATATGTTTAATAATCGGCATAATGTATAAATCAAAATTTGCTACGGGAGCGTAAGAAAATGCGGGACAATGGAGCAAATTTTACAATATTTTTTTGTAGGTAATTTTTTCTACTTCCTGAACCGAAATTATGAGATTTATCATATTTTGCATAAAAAAGGTACTCTTGTTAATTTTAATAGCATCATTTTTGATCAGGGAAAATTCTGGGTTGTTAACCATTGGGCGTAGTCCATCCCTGGCATTCTGGGCATAATGAAGTTTCACTTACAATATCAAAAACAAGCTGTACTGTGTTATCGATCACTAAATTTGAATCATGCTGAAGTTAATAGTTTAGACTGTAAATAAAAATTTCTTTTTAATTTTCATCTTTGAGGGCCAGTAACTTGTTAACGAAAGCTCGCAGGAAATTTTTTTTTATGAAGAACTGATATTTTAACCTCATCTATTTGTACGTGTTTTTTTGTAACAAGCACCGAAACACCCTGTATACAGGGTGTCCCGTTTATGTTTCAAAAAAACTTGTGTTGAAGTTGTTACTTTCCAAATGGTTTTCCTTAATTATCTTTAAATCGGTTAAAGATAAAAATGTCAAAAGTACACGAGTAAACATCTTAACTGTGCGTTAAGAATAATGTGCAAACGGTTTCTTTCTGAAAAGCAGTGTCGCCGATACAGGTAATTGAAGGGGTTCAATCGAAGAAAAAATACGTTAAAGTCAAAATTTATTACATTTCTAAACGGTTCTGTAAACTCTAAAGGATACTACAAAGAAAAGGTGTACTTACTTGTCGAAATTCGGTAGCATGTACCATTTTCGAGAAAAATGAAGTTGCATTTTTTTTGCTCACATAAAGCGGCACAAGTACATTAACAAAACATTAAATTGAAAGAGGACCTTACCATTGAATGAGTTGAAGACGTTTAGCTACCAACAGTATTTGCATTTAAGACATTAATTTTAATTTCTTACGTATCACATGAAACAGTTAAATTGTAAAACATTTTATTAACTAAAAAAGAAAATTAAATTTATTTTAAGTTTCAGTTTGTTGTAAACTAACATTTAAAAAAGTAAATCAAAATAAACAGATTATGGTAATTAATTATCTATTATTAACTAATTTTAGATTTTGTAAACTACTGCCCTACCATTACTAAAATAAACAATTGTTGAATGGACTGAATTGTTGATGGACTTGAATGCTTAAAAAAGTGATAAAAACAGAAAAATATTAGGAAACAGACTCGGAGATACAGAACAAAACAGCTGCACAATTAAATAAATGTGCAAACTCGAAATACTACAGTAAATACTGAAATTGTCCCCCATTACCTTCTATGCAACTTAATTTTTCTCGAAAATGGTACGTGCTACCGAATTTCGACAAGTATACCTTTTGTTTTGTAGTTTACAGTTTACAGAACCGTTGAGAAATGTAATTTTTTTCGATTGTACCCCTCCAATTACCAATTTAAAGATAATTATGGAAAACCATTTGGAAAGTAACAATTCAACACACTGTATTTCGAAAACAGGGCGTCTAAGAAAAAAACTTGACAAAAACATGAACTACCCCTATTATTTTTCCATGAGGAAATTGTACACAGTTTTTTATGAAACATGAATGGGACACCCTGTATAGACAAGATGTAACTTTGAATGGCAGTCATATTTATACCGAGGCTACCTTTGACCTTTAAAAACATGTATCGATAGTTTATTTTTTCAAATTCCGTCATAAAAACTTTTTTAACCTTTTTTTTAGTAATGTTCAACCCCACAACTGAACAAGCTAGTGCGACCTCAAACAATGGAGCGCATTAGTCATAGCGCATGTACAATTAGGAACTGGGCTATGCATTGTTGTCAAATTTCATATTTAAAGAAAAGGTTGTTAAAAAGTAAATTTCCACACCACCCGCCCTGAGGTACCTACCTACTGCTCTTTGGCGAGTAACTTTTGTTCTGTGGATGTTGGCTAGGAGGCCTATCATCCCACATAAACGAAAATTTAAGTCTTCCAAATAAGCTAAACTATAAAACAGTACTCAACAAGTAATCTAACAGAAAAATGAAATACAGAAATATGTAAATAATTTGTTTATTCACCTGATTTTCACAGCATATGATATAATTGAAATTTAGTGGCTAATCTTCCAGTACCAGGATCCTCTTCCACAGCGTATAAAATTTCTCATTCTGAATTTGTTTCTGTCCAATATTAAGCATATTAATTTTTAAGAAAATTTTAAAGTACCTGTCATTTGAAAGGGATATTTGCAACTCTATGTAAATTTTTTCATAATATATTACTCCAGCTATAATCCAATTGATGTTTTGAAGTAAAAGGAACAAATTATTACGAAATTATTTGAAGTCTTCAGCTTATCGTTAACAGTTAGCCCAGCCAGCGCATGATTGCATTCCATGTCATTAAAAATAAATTCAAAATATTCCGTTCTATTATCTTTATCTTAGGAAATTGTTGGAACATTGGAAATATACATTTGTCTCTACAGTTTTCGGTTCAAGTGAGGACATATTTTTCTGATGACACATAGTACAGTTGTTTTGAAGGTATTTAATAATCTCAAAATATTTCAAACTACCTTGGGGGCATAGTGTTTAAGATCAATTAAAAACAAAAATTTATAAAAATGTATTTCAGTTTAAATCTATGGAGACGTAAACAGGACCCATCTAAAATTATTGACTTTAATGATAGATTGTTGTCATAAACATACATACAGAGTGTTGAAATAAGGATAAAAAAGTAAAAAAAGGTTATAGGTCCGAAAATGTGTAGTAAAAAAGCTACAGGGTGATAAATGTGCACTGGGAAAACTATTTTTTTTAAATAATTTCAAATCTACTAATCAAATACATTGGAATTATTTCAGTCACGGAGGAGTAGCTTTTTGTACACACAGGATGGAACTGAAGGTTTTTTCTTGTTAAAAAAAGCACAAAACAAATGTTTTCGTGAGGAAACAAAAAAAATGAATATAAAAAGATAATCTATGATCTTGAATGAGTGTCAACATTGATCAGTCAACACCTCAAATATGACTTCACGGAATTCATGAAATAAGAATTATGAGGGTTATTTGGGTGTTTTCACGAAAACACCCAAATGTTGTCATCATCAATAATACTGCCTGCGTTTTTCTGAACGTATTTTAATAAAATATTTTCTTCTATCTGCTTCTATCCTTCTAAAAGCATAAACATTCTTCAAAAAATAAATTAGAAATGCTCACATTATACCAGAGTTCCAAAGTAGTAGGCAGTGAGTCTCATAAATAAATCAAACCAAAATTTTTAGTTTGATAAAAAAGATAATCAACGACGCTGCATAGTTTAATTTTAAAATAATATCAGCTTAGACGTTTCCTTTCGTGTCATGTGCGTGCAAATTATTATTTTCGCATTTTTGTCATTCCAGTGTGTTTTAAAAAATGGTTTGTGCACGAGCGTTAGTGGCCAAGTCACACACTGGGTAGTCACAAATGAGCGAATTTAACAGATCCAGAACAAGGAAGACAAACAATATTTGTAAGAGAATTTGAGTGCGAAACGCGGATATTTCGGTGAATGATGATGTAGAAGCGTGGAGTTGTTTCATTTAACAAAAATAACATTCAGAAGCGTTTATCTTCTAACATTAACAAAAATTAAACTGCAATGGCAGAAAACGAAGATTTACCTAGATTGTCCCAGTTTTAATGTGTACTCTGCATTAAATGAACTTTCATTACTTAAAACGAAATGAATGAAGTTGTAGTATAGCGAAATGAAGAATACTCGTATACGATCCGCAAGGCTTAGCAATAATTTAAATATCAACAGCAGATAAGAAATATTTTTAGAAGAATTTTCTACCAGATTAAAAGGGAGGAAAGGACGGCGATTACTAACTACATATAACGGGAGAGAATGCGGATATTTAGATGATGGTTTACATGTGTTTGAGTCATGATAAACGAGATTACCAAGATGTCTGGTAATTTTTTTTATTTGGTGAAAACATTTGAGAATTTTCTTGGGAAAAATGACATCATAACCTCTATTTCAGGTACTTAAAGGAAGATTGCGATCGCCATCTAAGCAAAAATTCTGGGTTGTTAACTATTAGGCATAGTCCGTCCCTGGCGTTCTGGGCATAATGAAGTTTCACTTACATCAAAAACAAGCCGTACGCATGTGTTATCGATCACCAAATTTACATCATGCTGAAGTTAATAGTTTAGAGATAAAAAATAACTTTTTAATTTTTACCTTGAGGGCCCGTAACTTGTTAACGAAGGCTCGTATGAAAAATATATAGAGAACTGACACGGGACACCCTGTATAATATAGAGAAATTAAACAGTCTCAATAATCAAGTTTGTTAGGTACTGATTTTGACTGCGTTGCGTGCAAAAACAAAATCTTTGTGCTATTTGTAATCATTAGTGACATAATTCACATTTTGGGTAAGTTCGGAATGATATGAAATCGGCGCACGACTTTATAGATAAATTATTTATGTTAATAATGAATAGAAACCATGATGTTACTCACACCAGCATGAGTAACGACGAAATACAACAACTTTTTGTCGGTTTCCTAATATTTGCCCCTTTTCCAGAGTACTTATAACCTAAACATATTCATATCATTCATGTTATTAGCATTACAGATAACACTTTTCCAAACTTCAAATAAAATATTTATTTTACACACTATTCATGTTCATGTTTAACTTTAAGTACTTAAACTGACTTTTGAAACACGATTTCGTACCGTGTAAATTGGAAATTGTACGTTTTATACCTTATGTATCACTGTCAAATCGTCTATTTATATACAGGGTGTCCCGGTACATATGGATGACGTCAAAATAATATCAGTTCTTCATATATTTTTTTCATACGGACCTTCGTTAACAAGTTACGGGCCGTCAAAGGTAAAAATTAAAAAGTTATTTTTATTTAGTCTCTAAACTATTAACTTCAACATGATGCAAATTTGGTGGTCGGTAACACATGTGTACAGCTTGTTTTTGATATTGTAAGTGAAACTTCATTATGTCCAGAACGCCAGGAACGGGCCATGCGCAATGGTTAACAACCCAGAATTTTTGTAGACTGAATTTTAAGTACATCAGGTTGTAAAGATCCGCTATTGCGGTTTCCCATTTGTTCTTTTCGTTTTCCTGTAATATGATTTGAAATTTTGCTAAATTAAAATAAGAAAAAAAGGATAAGAACACTGATTCAAAAACTTACTTTTTCCAGAAATGAATATCCATTTGATTATCTCTCAAATTTTGTTTTGTTTTAAGTATGATTCCAACATGAATAACTTTTTTTTTTTACTTTAAGTCTTTAATTTTAATTTCACTCTATCTCTATATTACATATGAAGACAAAGCTATTCATCCGCGAGATGGAATCTCCACTATTAATACTTTTTAAACCATTATCTAGTTATTTAACAGAAAATTCCTTTTTGGGTAGTACAAATTTATTACATTCTAACTTTTTTACTAAACATTTTCATAACAACTTATTTTTATTTCAATGAGCACTACGAGTAAATGAAATTTGTATCCTTTTTTTATCCACACCGTACATTTGCAACAATGCAGAAATAAAATCAGAAATATATATCTGATACACCTACGTGACAATTTTATTATTTTATGAACAATATCACCACTTAATATGCGGTAATTTGGTCAATAAAAAATGTATTAGTTGAAGATTAATAACAAACGCAATATATATAAACTTATTTATTGGTCTTGCGTAAATTAACAGGAATGTTCAATACATATTCAATATACAACTTTAATATAATTTTTTTTTTTTCAGAAAATAGTTATAATTTTCGTTCGTTTAACAAAGATTAACCTATGGAATATAAATTAATAATGGTAGACTTATTATAATAATGAAAAGGATGGTAAAAAAAAACTACAATTACATGTGTCTTGTATTTCCAAAATTGATTCCAGATTGATTGGCACCTTTGTTACTTCCCATTTGAAGTCCGATGATTGTTTGACCGGCTTTAAGCTTTTCTTCTGAGAATGTCCTTTCGTTTTTCTCGGCTTCTTTTGGTCCAATACTTGGTTTACCAAAATTGCCAGCCTAAAACGAATGATTAATAACTTTTATATATTTTTTAATCTTATCTTACCTTTCTTCCCAGTGACTGCAAGCAAATCACAACTGAGTTAAGATTTTGTCTTTCCCAAAGGTCTACGGTTTGGAACGTCTCCTGTGGTGGAACTCCCAACTGCTTGGCAGCTTCCAAAAATGCATTTATGTTTTCCATACATTTGAAAGCCATTGAGCTGGTGTTAACCTTTTTTACCATACCTGGTTGTATGTTGTTGACTAATCTAAAAATAATATAACATGTATATGTCCATGTATGACATGTTGCTGGTTTATACAAGGTGTTTATATCTTGTGTACATATTATTGAGATCATAAAGGTCGATTAAACTAAACCCACTTCTACCAAAAATTGCTTTTTGTAACCACTGGAAGGTGGCATACTTGCCAAAAAAGTTATTTTCTTTTTCAATTAACATTCAAATTCGATTGAAATAACATTTACAGAAAAGAAAAATAACGGCAATCATAAGCAATTAGATAAATACAACTGAATTTTTTATTTATAACAAAGATATTTTTTGTATTTTTAACCAACACATTTGTACGAAAAATTTACATACGAATGGATATACGAATTGACATTAGATAAAGGCAAGATTTTGATTTCGTAAGTAAATTTGTCTTATTTTGGTCTCAAAAATCTGTACTAGCTCTATTTAACACGACATTAGGACACTCCATACATCTGGTAATTCAAGGAAATGAATTATTTTGAAACCATATAAATGTTCCACAGAAACGCAAACTTATATTGATGTTGGCTACGATGAGAACATACAGAGTGTCCCATTTACTTTGACAGACAGATACTGGACCTAAAACGTATCGTAATGGTGATTTTTATTAATTGGAGTTTGCTCCCTCTAAAATATTAAATATCTTAATCGACTACGTTTCTTAAAGTTCCCATCTGCATTATCAAGAATCCCACGTGTAATAGCTTTGAAAACTAGGCTTTTCGATTACGCATATCTTCAATTGTAGTGGAAGGCGAAGAATAAATTTTATTATATCCGCACAAGAGAAAGTCAGATTTTATTATGTAGATCAAGAGATTAAGGGGCTTCCTTCATTCAATCCATTTATGTTGAACATGTTGATTTAAAACATTATTTTTATTACATGAGATTAGCAAGTGTTCATAGGCGCCGAATCTCCGGGACAAATTTTCTGTGAGTGCAGAGAGCTTCTTTATTTACAGACAAAATTAAGTAATCTGTGAATTCAGTTACAAACAGATTTTTGTAAACAAGATAAAAACGAGGATAAACATATTAAAGTTTAGATTAATACTAAGGCATAAGATTAAGGTAGACTTAAGGCTAGGTTAGGGCTAAATTCTCCATTATGATAAATGATCCTATTCATAAAAATAGTGATATAATTTCTTGTATAATTTCCATGATCGTTTCTTGAAAATTCGATATTAACAGAATTACATAACCTTAGTTATGTTTTTAATTAATATTTTGCCGTATGTAACCCTCTTTCAGTAAGTCTATTTTTTCAAATTTGTTTCTATAATTACTAGTAACAAACTGAACCTATGAAAAAAAATTTCATGAAAGTTATGACTTTAAAATGCTAGAAAATCTTTTCTGTATTTAAAAAAATTAGTCAACATACAAAAAAAATTTACAAACAAATGTTTTTGTCTAACTCGACAATATTAACCGTTTTCAGGAAAAAACAAAAATGTTTGGCAACTCTTAAAAACAAAAATTTAGCGCTCTTGCAATATAAACGAAGCAAAAACTGAAAGAAAAACAAAATTATGGATGTCTTTCCGATATCAATTGAAGAACCAAGACGTTGACGGTATGTACCAGGTTCGGCATTGAAATATTTGAAAAACTTGTTCCCATATTTATTTAACCATACCCATATACAAATCTGGTCGAACTAAACAGGGAGGTGGTAGAAATGTATACGCCCAGTTGAAGTATGAGAACGCAGGCGAACGAAATCTAACACAAGTACATTGGGCCACTGGACAATAAATCTCAGCTTTTGACAAATTGCCCACAGTGTAGTGCAGCAATGTGGAATTTGGTGTGATTTAGGTAATTTTAATTTTTTATAGGCACCTTCTATCAATGATTTATATTACAATTGCGAAAGGGAGAAATAATATTATTACAAAATGGCATTTTGGAGACGTTTTGAAACGGAACAAAACGAAATTTACCATCAATATAATAAAATTGTTTGAGGACATCCATTTTTTAACGTAAAAACATTAACAAAAAATACAAACATTGAATATCTAACAAACTATGTATCAAGAAAGATAATTTCAGGAAAGTGATAATCGCCTGTTAATATCTCGAAAACAGTTGACAGTATATGTATATATAAACGCTAATTAGCATCAAAACAGGGGCATATTTCCAAGAAAATAAGTATCAGAGCGGTGTAAACGTATACATTTTTTTTAATTTTATATTTTAGCGACAGTTTTTAGAATTTTCGAGAAAAACGCATTTCCCAAGATATATCGATCACTGTGCAACCATGCATCTATTGTTCACAAACGTAAGCAGATTACAAACCAAAGGAAGCATTTTTTACGTCAAATCGTTTAATTTTTAAAGTACCTATATTTCAGATAAGAAAATAATTGTGTAGTGGCAAACACGTTGATAAAATAATGATATCATACAAGAAATTACTGACATTCCACTTCCAAGAAGAATAACTCTACAATAACTTCGATAATTGAGATAATCTTGTTTTTTAGACAGATTTATTTTATCGACATTATTTTATATTAGAACCAATGCGATCGTTTGACTAAAGAAAGTTTATTTAATGTCAGTATATTTTATAAAAATAGTGATGTTAAGTAAAACTATTTTTCATTTCGTTTTCATCCATATACCGGGTGATTCAGTTTGATATTCGCGGCCTCGTATCTCTTTTATTTTAACAAATAGCTATAACAAACCCTATAATTCTTTAAATCGCCGCTCAAACTCTATCAAATGACATCAGATCGTCACCATAGTAACATGTGTCAAAATGGCTACAGTCAATTGTTTTTCTTCAAATGGCACACTATATTTTTTTATTAATTCTGGAAGATATTTTTTTTCTGCATTCAGCTATATAAGGAAGTCTATAGTTTTATTAGAAATATTGCTAGAAAAACAGCAAAAAGGATGAACCCTACTTTCATTATCTTTATCAGAATAAAGCTACGAAAAGTAGGGTTCATCTTTTTTGCTGTTTTTCTAGCAATATTTCTAATGAAACTATAGACTTCCTTACATAGTTGAACGCAGAAAAAAAATATCTTCAAGAATTGATAAAACAATATATAGTGTGCCATTTGAAGAAAAACAGTTGACTGTAGCAATCTTGACATATGCTACCATGGAGACGATCTAATAATGTCATTTGATAGAGTTTGAGTGGCGATTTAAAAATATATAGTGTTTGTTATAGGTATTTGTTAAAATAAGAGATACAGGGCCGCGAATACCAAACTGAATCTCCCGGTATACCCACTTTCAGTGCGCAAAATAAATGTATATGAAATTTTTTTAACCAACCTTCAAAATACTGGCCACTGATTGTAGAATTAAAATATATACGAGCATATTTTATAATCTTCCGGTCATTGAGGATAAGCGACACGTAGATAAACGACCGAAACGGAAAAATCAGTACAGTCTAGGTTCCTTTTTAAAACCCATAGGTATTAAAAGAAAATTTTTTAATATCCTTAACTGAAAAACTAAAAACAATTGTGTGCAAACGACTTTAGTAACCGTCAGAGGTTAGTTGATTAATGTTAACAGATATTTTATTAAATTCTATTTCTGTCTCAGACTTGACCTTGAATTCGAATAGTCAATTAAATTTAATAATGACATAGTAAGTGTGGTGCAATATACCCGGTGGTTTTACAAATGGTAAATTATTGTGTTGGAGGCGGTTCTCAAAAAAATCAGTAAAATTTTATCAGTGTCCTAATTATCATCTCTCCAGACATTTCTGTAATATACTATACATTATTTTGCTATAAATAGGTATTGTTATTTATTGATAAGATAAAAGGGAAAATTGTATAAAAATGCTTGTCGAATTATTACCGAACTTTTAGCAAAGAAGTCCGCAAAGTATAGGTTTTATAATAAAATCAAATCAAATCAATCTATATATTCCTGCAGTGAAATTATAAATATTTTTGCAATTATATAATTTTTCTCAAATAATTACTATTTTTTATAAAAGTACCTAGGTACCTGTCATGAAAAGACTTGAAATTTTACATTTTACTGATAATAACGATATGGTTTTTATAAATTTAAACAATATTCGACGCACTCGACCTTTGTAATGTAATTTATAGATATCTGATCCAATTGAATTATTATATAGATAGATTAATCCCAAAATTATCAATATATTAGTTATTATAGCAATTAAAGTTAACATATCAACTCGAGTAAAAGCCGTGATTATATTTCTAACAGAGTGGCTCAGATTTGCGTAACATAATTAATGATGTTTGTTGAAACAGTTGAAAATATTGAAAAAGTTCTTTCTAGTAGCAGGGGTATGATTCAGAGAAAAAAAATACCAAAGCGCTTCCGGATAATGTGAACATGCAACTAAATATCTGGCGTTGTCAGTCACGTTTAAGAAAAAGTTCTCAACATACACCGATCACCCTGTATATTAAAATTAAAGGCAGATGACGGACACCATATTTTGTGTGAAATCTTTAGCAGTCTGAATACACCTAATTTATTTTTTAAACTTAGAATTTGGGTACACACTCAAATCAGTACGACTATAGAATGGTGGTTCCTGATATATTTACTTCTTTAGATCTACTTTTAATAACTGCAGCATTATTTATGAAAATGTCACAATTCTTTATCCTCTGAAAAACTATTGTATGTCCAAATTCCATCTTACGTAAGGAGTAGTCTTTATTGTTACTATTTCGATCTCTACAATATAAAGGTTGTCCCAAAGCTAACGCAAGATTTGAATTGTGCGCCATTTTCGTTCCGAAGTGTTGGCAGCATTGTGCAGTCACATATTGTAGTGAACAGGTTGCGGTTTAGTCAAAATGGAGCGCTATACGACAGATGAGCTAGTGAAGATTGTGAAAATTCATTACAAGTATGGAGAGTGTGTAGCTGAGATTATGCTTCGAGTTTTCGGTAGAAGGGACGCCTGAATGAAACAACTGAAAAGATTAGTTGCCAATTTTGAACAAATAAGTTCGGTTGCAGAAAATAAACAAGCCGTCCTCGTTCAGCCGAATAGAATATCCGGAAAGTCCTTTACTGTCCAAGTTCAGAAGAAAGTTTATATAAAAAATACTACCATTTACTGATGTAATATTCGTCCTAATAATATAGAGATAATTTAGAATAACCCTGTACGGTATGTGTGTAATTAAATCGAAACAATTTATTGTTACTTGTGTGTCTGTTATAAATAATGGTTGATAGTCTGTTGTAAAAATTAATATTTTATTTTCGATTACTTGTGTATATTTCATCGTTTACTTATGGTCATGATTGTATACCGACTTGAGGACCGTAAAGCAATCTTTGTTTAAAACCACTTCCTTGATCTCCAGCTGGTTTACTTTATCTAATTTACAGTTAAGTACACACCGAACATGGTTGTCACTGGATTTTTTTTTATTATTAGATATTAACGTATAAGGGGAAAATCAATAAAAACTGTCTCAGTCAATCATATAAGCATATCTCTTCAGATTAGAGATTATACTATTTTAAAAATAATATTATGTACGAATTTACAGCAGGCTGATTTAAAATTTAGTATACAGGGTGTCCAGGAAAATGTAAGAAATCTCTCGGGTGCAGATACAACATGAAAAAATAAATAGTCTTAAAATAGTGCCCTTGAAACATATTTAGCTTTTTTAGTTTACCTGGGGCGGGCTAAGCTTTACAACTTATGCCTAAATGTTTAACACCCTGTATGATAAAGACTTTAAAATAATAAATCTGGGTAGTTTCAACCTTAGACTAAAAAAAGGTATTGTTTATTGTCGATAAAATGATCAGTTTACGAGAAAAAGAATAATAAACGAATTCATGTTTTATTTTTAATAAAAAGGGCCGTGATTTTTTCTCGACAACAAAGTGCGATACGAAAGTCATTCAAACGACAGGAAAGTTTCATTTTAAGATGTTCAATCAAAAAAAAAAATACAAAATAAAAAAACGCAGTGGCGTCCTAGGAGGCACCTTAACGAAATCATTGAAAAACTTCATAAGAGGGTTCAACATGGGTGAAGTCTGATACACTCACGGAGACGACGAATTGAGGACCGCTGTATCCGCCACAATAACCCAGCATTGTTCCGTATCACATCACAATGAAACGCGATTCTCTATATTTTTTATTAATATAACAACTATTTTTTTAGATATTCCTTAAAATTTAATAATGAACCACACGAATACTTTTTTAATTGACTTATCTAATTTTCAGATGTCATTTGTATAACGAAAGAACACTCATGTGTTAGAAAATGGGTTACGGTTACGTCAATTTTGATGAACAGGAAATAGCTACAAGGTTTCTGATAGGAGTAATACCGAGAAAAAGAAAAGATATAATATTACATAATTTTTGCTCCGATTTCTATATTTATCTCACTGTAAGGATGTCACTTAACGTATAAAAATGTGAATAAGACACCAAAACCTTTCTCTCTTATTCCACCGTGTTTAACTGGTTTAAAAACATTTTTAAAATCAGTTTTATCCATTGAAAAATAACACGTCATGCGATAAAATTTATCATTAACGCAAGTTCAGTTACTAAAGACTCGTTAATGATTAAATGATGTCATGGTTCGGTTTAACGTCCAACAGAAATATGTACGTATATAATAAAGGAGATGTGAGTCATTCGGTATGTAGACTTACTTGCATAACAGCGTTCCATCTTTCAATACTTCATAGAAGTTGTCCATGTCGCCGCCAGTGTTTATTCCATCGCCGGTGATCGAAGCAATCCATTCTAAACTTTCCTTCGCTAAATCCTCACTATATTTGGCGTTGACCTGAAAAAATAAAGTCCATGGTACAAATATGGTTACCGAATGGTTTTAAAAATGCACCTACACAGGCGGAGTAACAGAACTAATAGAAGATCTCTAGGAAATGTACGCAACTAAAACTATGCTTACAGACAGCAACAATTATTTTTGTAAAATTGAAAATAAAAAAAAATTAGCAAAAAAGTTTGTATCACTTCGAAAAGACTAACCGATAATACTTTTTCAGATTATTGTATTTTAATTTTTTTATTTAAAACTGACGGGTTGTATAATGTACAGTGTTAGTCACTATAATCTGACAACTTATTGTGTTTATTATTGAAATTACACAAAAGTTTTTAATACAAAAGTTCTAGATTCTTTTTACGAATTTTTATAATACAGTATTAGAAAAAATAGTTGAATAATGGAAATCACTAAATTAAAGAAAAAAAATTTTGTTAATGAGGCACCCTGTATATTAGTGCATACTTGGCTTCGTTAAATTGTTCTCTTTTCAAAAATATATATTATGTTACTGTTTGATTAAGGACTTTTCGATATATTTCAGTTTAAACTATTTTTGAAAAAACGGAAGGAAAATTTATGTCTGACGGATCGCAGTGGCTATGGACGATTCACGCGGAACAAACAAAATACTTTGACAGAACTTTATTTATCATCATTAATTTATTTCCTATACCTAACAAACTATTTAGCAAAGAAATAATGTTTAGTGAGAACGAAAAAGTTGTCCGACTATCTTACAAGAATAATAATAATGTGAATCTCTTGGAAGACAGAAACAAAGAATTATTCCAAATTAAGAATTAGAACTAACTAAGTATATTACTTAATATATTTTCAAGGTAAGCAAATATTCATTCGAGGTTTACTATGGTAAATTCAAATATTAAATTATTGTAGAAAGGCCACAAGAGTCCACAGTAAATGCTTCAAGACAGTTAGAAATAAGCCAAAGTAAAATTATTAAAACGTTACATAAATACCGCCCCTAGAAAACTATGACGGTCCAAAATCTCACCCAAAATCAAAAAAATCTGCGAATAGAGTACTGCAGAGAAATGCTGCGTTTGAAAAATGGCTACCTAAACCATTTTGAAAAGATTTTATGGATGAGGCGACTTTTAGCTGACATTTAGAATAAAAAATACTCATAACCTGGGCAAATGAAATTCCAAGTCAAAGACGCACATCGTTCAATGTTTAGTGCCGTATATTGAGAAATAAAATCATTGCCCCACTATTTTATGAAGGTGCTGTGACTGGAGAAGATACCTGCATTTTCTTGAAAATCAAATAGAAAACAAATTGGAAGACCTGCCGTTGATCGATTATACCAATTTAATTTGGCACTAAGATGGAGCGCCTCCGCATAGAACCAGAGCAGTACGAAATTATTTAAATAATAGGTTTGATTTGTGGATTAGTAATGGAGAAAATATTCAATGACCTTCAAATAGCCCAGACCTTGCACTCTTGGACAGTTTTCTGTAGGGTTATTTAAAAAACGAGGTTTATAAGGAAACTAGTGTAAACTTGGATGAACAAAGACATAATGTAATCAATATATACAAAATTAAGTGAATTTAATTCCCATTTCATACTAAATGCAGTTCTGAAAATTAATGAGGATTATATGAAGATATGCTAGCCTAGCTTATAAAACCAATGATATTTGTACTGAAACACATATCTTTGTCAAATTGAAACGAAAAACTATAGCAATAAACAAAAACGTTAGTTGCATGTGAGAAATTAATCAAATAGTATAAAACTAGTGCAAATAAAATCCAATGGGAAACCATATTATACGGCTCACTATACCTACTAATCAAAATTTTGAAAATCATCCACAAGAATCTGTGTATGTGTTGAGTAAACTAACAACTATTGTCAAATGTCAACATTAAAAGCAATTTATATTTTAGGTAGGCCAGCCGTTAAATGAAAACTGGTGTGGGGTAAATTATAATAAACTCTGCGTTTCAATTTTAAACTTTTTATAAAATCAAACACTTATGGAGAAGTCTTTAACCTTACGGTACTGTTTCTAAAGATTATGTTATAAATATTTTTTATTTCATATAATTCTCATCGTAAAGAAATATGCACGTAACACTTGTTGTTTAAGTTTGAACATGTTGAAGGAATATGTACTTTCGAATCATACAATGCTTTAACCACGACTTTCTTTGAATATTGCAAAATTATTTAATTGTAAGACCAAAAGCGAACGTGATACTATTATTTCAACACCTCTTTAGAGTAGCTATACTTATTACAAAATGTAGATTTAGGTTGAAGAAACCATTTAATGTCAAGATCATCCAAAGAATCCAGTCTACTGTTGGTAGAAGGCAAAATCCGTAGAATGACCAGAAACTATCTTGATGCACCGCAAAACCATCGTAACCAAGAAACCAAACAGACGAATGTTCCTCTCCAACTTGCAAGAAATTTAAAGAGATTTTGTCCAACAACGGTTTTAGATTGATAATGATTATTAATTCTAAATAGACTGTTGTTTGTTCCTATTTGTTTTTTATTTTAATGTAACAGCAAAAGTTTTTTAAAAACTAAATATTCGTGGGCGCCATCAAGGTTTTCCTGCATATTGGCCCCACTAAGCAATGGCGACGTCGTGAGGGCGAGATACAACCAAACTTCTGCACACAGACGCTAGACACTAATTAGCGCGGATGGACACAATGATGATAATGTTTTTTCATTTTTTTAGGAAAGATTTATTATTTATTTATTAAAATGTATTAAAAAATTATTTGAACTGGTTTATGGTATCTATAATAATAAAATAAAAATATAAGAAACTTGTATAAAAAGACCACAACGGCGAGAAATGCATAGAGGATCGACGCATAGCACCGCTACAACGCCGGAAGGATGTGTGTAGCCTTTCATCGAAATACATGTGTTTCATTTAGAACTGTAAATCCGTCACAAAAAAGTCTTCGAGTCTTCAAGTGCTGTTATGTGCCTACTGTAATATGAAATGACTACCTTGCATTTAACATCTGTATTAGATAAACCAGCAAAATATTGTGAGACGCTCCCAGAGTTTTTTAAAATTTTTCTAGACCTCGATATTTTCTTTGAATTCACTCAGATCTATCACCCACGTAGAAAGATTTGAATGTCTGCACAAAATTTTATTTAACCTTTCCTTAATTTTAATTCTAATTCAGGACTATATGGTTTTATCCTCAGTTTACTAATTGCATTATTGAGAATTTTAACGTTTATTTGTCACACCCCTAGACTATTTAACGTAAAAATATCACCAGTGGCAAATATGTAGAACATATTAGATTAGAGTAACGGATTTCTAGAATTATTCGTTTATCTCAAAACAAAACCGTGCCTTCGATTATTCATTATAAATAGTTTTCCGCGAATCCTTTCATTCTATAAAATTCCTAACTAGGCCTTATCTATTTATAAAATTATTAACCTCATGTACAAACATATGATTAATCGATGCATATTCGTTATGTATGTAATTCAAGAAAGACTGAACCATAATTCCGTTGACCAGCTTTGCCGAACAAAATTCGTATACCTAGAACCAAAATTTATTTCATGTGAAATTCGAGTAAATTCAATATAAATCAATTATATATTTACCTAGTTTCGGCTATACGCTATCATCAGGGAAAACTAACAATCTCATGGAAAACAATTACTTCATTAAAATTAAATTATAAAACAATTTTTTGTAAAATATTGAAACTATCTATATTATTTTTTAAGTAATCTTATCAATGATTAAATGAAGCCATTCTTTTCCATACGATTGTTATTTTTTTAACCTAACGGTGACATAGAACTAAAACTAGTTGGAAATAAATATTTATACTGATTTAAAATGGGCTCTAAAGCATTCATTATTATAATGCATTTTCGTTGGAATGTACACGATGATTCACTATATTTTGACACTCCTATTAACTTTTTTGTTTTAATAGTTATAAAAAAATGTAAAATACAAAAGTTGCACTATTTTTTATGAAGTTTTTGAAATTGATAGTAGGGAAGCAAATGAAGTCCAAACAAAACAGCTGCCGATGTTAACTTTGTTAATTGAAATGGAATGCCCTGTATATTATTACATATTTGGATAGAACGTTGCCTGTCGAGCATAATCATATAGGGTTTGTTGGGTCCATCTCTAACAATAAGTGAGATAATATTAAAAAACGAAGAGAAAGTTTTTTATAAAGAAAATAAAAGACATTTTGGAATTGTTAGACCTCTTTCGGGCATTTCTGCCTTTTTCCAATTAAGTAAGGATTTAGATTTAGTTGTAATATATTTTGACATGTCGGACATTGATATAGGTCAAAATGCGTATAGGTGTTTTAACTAAATCTCACTAATTAGGCCGTGCGAGGCCTATTTACTCATGATCATGAACAATGTTATATGGTAGGCCGCGACAGTGACAGGTAATGTCATGACAACATTGTTATTGTTTGACAGTTTGTATTATTATTTAATTAAAATGGGTTACACAGAAGTAGAAAATTGAAATACATATAGGAATTAAAATACATAGAGTAAGTTATTCTCCATGCTATATTTTAATTCCTAATAACATGTTAACATCCGCGGCCATTTTGTTTGGACTTCATTTGATTTTCTACTATCATTTTCGAAAACTTGTGCAACTTTTGTATTTCATATTTATTTATAACTCTTAAAACAAAAACGTTAAAGGGGAGGAGGGGTCAAAATACAGTGAATCACCCTGTACAATGCTTGTGGAAAATAACAAATGATTTTAATAATTTATTAATATCTCTTCGATGTCACTTCTATTTAAAGAAATTATTTCTGTGTCGGAACACGAATAATTACGAAATAAAATAAAGGGTAGAGATTTCTTAATTTTTCCAGAAGATAAGTTGGTAGTCAACAGTATTTTTAAACGTGACAAATAGATAAAATGCCAGTGTTGTAAATATTGCCGATGAAGTCACGATCAACGGAGAATTGTACAGGAAATGGTGATGCAATCCACTAATCAAATGTGAATATTGAGAGTGCGATAACAAAAACCGTATACTTGAAGTATATCAAGAAGTTGTTTCTGGTAGTTTAACCACATTTTAATTGAATACTCATATATTCTCGTAAGATGCAATCATTGATAAGGAAACAATTTCTCACCCCGCTTCCACATTGACATGGTTAGTTAACTATAAGTACCGTCGTTCGCAAACAACGTTTCGGCATGTTAGTTAAAATGACCAGCCATATTGTCAATATACGCAACTAAGTCGACAACTTATTCCAATAAGAAAACTAATTAAGTGAGAATGATGTAATATCTGGTATAAGTTTTCTGACCTCGAATTCGTAATCAGCGACTTCGAAAACCTCCCTATCCCAAATTTGATGCGAATGTGTTATTTTTTGAAAATTAGGTCGGCCATCTTGGATCCGCCATCTTGAATTTTGCAAAATTGACCTCGGATCCGTGATCAGCAACCCCGAAAACCTCGGTATATCAAATTTAGCGCGAATCTGTTATTTTTTGAAAATTCGTGATATCTTACTTTAATTGGCCCGTTTTTTTTTGAGGTTAGAAAAAGAACCGTCAATTCTGACCGCGGATTTACGTTCGGCGGGGCCTTAACCATATAAATGAACATTTGAATATTGAAAAAAAAAATTGTTTGTATTTTTCCTAACGCTTTTTCGTGAATTTTTGCTATTTTTTTTGAGGTTAGGAAATTCCTGTGATGTGATTCTGATACCGAATTCGTGATAAAGAGGCAAAAATACTACGGATAACATATGTCATATGAAAAGTACAGAAGACAACTTTTTTTTGTGTGGTTGTGTTATCAAATAAATTTATCTGCAGAAATAAGTAGGTACCAGATATATATTGTTTGTCTCATATTACGACATATTATCTTCGATAATAAAATTATAATTTTATCATAGACTATTACAGTCTATTTATTTATATTTTTTTATTACTTACCGATATATCATTCTCAATAAGCGCTTAAGTATAAAAAGATAATATTTTTATATTCCTATAAATACTATATTACAAATTTATTAAGAATGGATGAATTTTAAGACTATAATATAATTAAATATAAGTTTCAATAGTTCCGATTATTCAAATATTTAATAATAAATATTAATTAAAACGTATGCTCAGTGTACCTAATTGAAATAATAATGTAATATTTGTTTAATCGGATTGATTTCCTCCTACTTATTTATGGTCGAAAGGAAGTATTTGTCCGAATGAACGCCATATGAATACTAACAAGTAATTCTATCAAAACACACGTACCATATCGTTAAAGATGCAATGAAAAAAATATTTGTAATGATATGATTAAAGTAGGCGTACTAATTAATGTTGACCCTCAAAAATATTCCAAACGGTGATGACATAGTAAACAAATTGGTTGGTCCAGTTACACAACCAGGGACCCCACCCCAGGTTTTCGATCCGTCGTCGAAAATAAAATAATTCTTTTTGTGATTTTTGTTTTTTATTAATTTCGTTTGTGGTTATAAATGCTTTTTTTATTATGTTTTAAACTTAATTCTTCCTAAAATCCAAATTTAAAACCGTAACTATTCGATTTCCTCTTTGGATCGGCACGCCCATGGAATGTGCCAAAGGGCCATGCCCGCCCTGCAGAGTTTGTCGGGGAAAATCCGAGAGTATATCTAATCACAAATTACTAATAAGAAAAAAATCCGTCTTTTTATCACCAAAGTGACTATTCTTAACTTTTATCTCCTTTTGGGGAAGACATTTTACTGGTTATCTTTATGAAATGTTTTTATTTTATGCAAAACTATATTTTACAAAGAAAAATAACAGTGTCTCTAAAAACAAGGTAAAATTATGATTAAATGATCAAGTAGGTAATCCAAATTTTGGTGCCGGTATACTACCTAGGGTACCCACTAAGAAATGACTTTTTTACCCAATGACCTTGATTGGTTGTAGCAGGTAGACAGGCATTGAGTATACCTATTTTCCTCCAGAAGAGTAATAAAATAGAAGGCATGACACAACAGATGCTATATGGATCGTCAAATATTCCTACGTTCCACGCCCAAAATGGTTTTAGTAAATAAAAAAGTCCTTTTCTGTATTGAACAATCGCTTAAAAATTAACCGATGTTTTGAACAACACCCTGCATTTATTGACCTATGCATATTATGGCCCAGATTAATTACGTCGAGACAAGCATGCACCAACCGTCTTTATTGCCGTTGATTAGGACAATTAAAAATGTTTTAGAAAACTCCTTCGTCGAGAGTCGTTAATAACATCAACAAATACATAAGAAATTATTTTAAACTGACTAAGCAAAAATTTTAATGTAAGCGACGTGGTAATATACAACAAAATATGTAAAACACGACTAAAAAAAAACACCTGCTCATTCTGAATAAAAGTAAACGATAATAATTACTGAAACTACTTCCTACCGACTGATATATCGAATTATAAACTTACCTTTCTTTGTGCCTCGGCGGCAAATCCACTTTTTGTAGCTCTGTTTGTTGCCATCTTAACAGAAAAGATCGGAAAAGCAGAAAACAACACCTTACTTGTCCTAACACTGTACCAAACTAAAACCTCGAACGGCGAATCGGATATTCACGTTTCTGTTGCTCCGACTCGGTTGCTAGCTGACTTGCTCACTCCACCTTATTGAATGGTTGAATTGACGCATACTCGTAAAAGAACCGGTTAAACGAAAAAAGTTTTGTTAGCACAAAGCAATATGCCGGCAGTTTTATTTTTTCTGAGGAATTTTCTGGAATCAGTAAAATATCCTCAATATCAGTTTATCTATATCGCCTTTAAATAAGGTTCAGATAATATAATGTATTAAGAAAATCATGAATATCATTCGTCATCATTCAAGTTCTATTTCTAACTGTTATGTCACTCGCAGATCTGTTAAATTCCCCGGTAACAGATACAGGATGCTAAGAAATCGACATTAAAAAAACAGCGAACCTTAAGTACATAAATAATGTATGTTTCATGAATATACTTAATAAAGTATTATTCATATTTTTTGGATATAATTATTTGAGTTTACGCTAATCTTTTTTGCGACGTACGATCAGGCCCGGATCCAGAGGGGGTGGCGATGTGGCGATCGCCACCCCCAAAGCACAACATTTTTTAAAGACCTTCAATTTCTCCAAACGACAACAGGCAGTTAGTCGATATTAATGCAAGTCCCCCTTCCTAACCTACACCTTACGTCATCAAAAAAATAACAACAACAACAACAACAACAACAACAACAACAACAATAATAATAATAATAATAATAATAATAATAATAATAATAATAATAATAATAATAATAATAATAATAATAATAATAATAATAATAATAATAATAACAATAATAAAGAAGTGCTTTGCGCCACCCCCAAAACCAGTCTCTGGATCCGGGCCTGCGTACGATTTGAATGACATATCCGATATTGTTGTATTGTAAATTTGTGTACAATCCATGTGCCGCTCTATGCTCACAATACACAATGCTACTGACTGCCACAAAAACGAGTGCCATACGCTTGACCAAACAAAGCGTCAAACTCACTGACACACGCAATAAACGACAATGAAATAGACGGCCAACGTCCCTCGGCAAAAAATATTGATTGTTTACCGGCACGCCAGGCCTACAGGGCAGGCATTAAGGTGTCGCTAGATACATATAGAATAAATTGATCGATGCAAAGCTTCAGATCAGAACTCTTGCTGGTACATTCAGTGGCAAACAACAAAAATATTAAAGTTGGGTCTAGAAAAAAGAAATATTATACAAAAGTTGTTGCTTTGCCGAGTTGCAGCGTTGTTAAAGTATTGTCAGTTATTTCTGAGACACTGTGAACTGACCAATAGAAAATTTAAACTGACCATACATATTAAAATATACTCACATCTTTTGGAGAAATTATTTCAAATAAAAAATTTACGATCACCTAGTATGTTCTTGCTAATTTATATTTATATTATTACAAACTTTCTGCAATGGTAACTTACAGCTGTTATAGTATATATCAAGCTTTGCAATAGGTTTATTCTTCAAAATATCAAAAAATATAGTTACAATTAGGTATTTTTAATTTGCAAGGCCAAATTTGTTGTACTGATAATTTCCTAACAGGATAAAAATCAAATGTTTCAGACCATGTGGATTCGACATTAACAGATATTTACAAAAGCTATGTCGTAACAATTATTTATAAACACCCATAAAAGCGTGTTACTACATTTTCTGTCCATTTGTGTGCATAAATAAGTTATTTGTCCGTATATGGAGTAGTTCGAGAAATGTACTGATTAGTTACAGTGAGAGCAAAAAAGTCTGTCGGGTCAGTCTGTTAGGAATATAACACGATATGATTCAATCAATTTTTGTAGAACTTTTTTTCACTGAAGGGTGAAACAAAAAATAACACGGCATCAGTTAAAAATTCAGTGTATCAGTGTATCATTATTTATTACTTAATTAGGTACCTATACAGAGTAATTCAATTCAATACATCAAAGAAAATTTAAAAAATTGTAACTACTATAAAATTTTGAAAAACTATTGAAATTGTTCATCCACAAACAGAAAATACAATGCTCAACACAAAAAAAATAAACTACACTACTCTTTAGTATATGGCACTAATTAATTAAAATCTACTATTAAATAATTTAAATAAACAATTGATTTTAGAACTTTGATGAAACAATCCCAAGTAAAAAGTCAAAAGTGAAAGCAAGAATATAGGATGTTTTTCTGAATAATTGTATTATTTGAGAATGTAATTTTCTGCGATTTAGCTACAAAAAACTGGCTTATCATGTCGCGACAGCCACCACCAAAAACTGTTGTTGCCTGACACTCCTGACAGTAACATTTTGTGGATGCATTTGTCTCAACTATCACAACAATAAAATATGTTCTTGATTTTCGTTTCTTTTTAGTTCCTTAAAAAGTGTTCTTCTGCGGAATTCAGCAAGGGGTCCTAAACGTAGCCAGTCCCACACTGTACACACTCCTATTTTTCTCGGATAAATTCTGAATCACTCTGTATTTATAGATAGAATATATAAGGAATTAAATAGACAATGGATTTATGAACAGTAAATAATGAAAACTATCTTATATATAGACATACGACTTCAAAGATTAAATACATTTAGAAGTTTTGGGTCATCATTCAGGATATTATAGCAACTGTCATTGTAAAAAATAAACATTAAACATTGCCTCATTAACGCACCCTATTAAGAGATAAAAATCAAAAATTTCAGAGAAATTTCTTTGAGAAAAGTAAATTCAACTCAGACTCTGGCAAGTTGTTTGGAATTATGCAAACGGAGATAGTTTCACTTGCAATATTACAATATCCCAAATGCTAATGATATAAATGTATTGAACCCACGTTATAAAACAGATGAATAAACAGGATGTTCCAGAAAATAGTGACTACAGTTTCCTGAGGTAAAACAGTTGAATTTAATTCAACTTACCTTAGTTCCAAAATGATTTGTTGAAATCTTACTTTTGAAAATCGCAAAAATAACAATTTTAGCCAGTTACAAAATTACCTACCTTTCACTTAGCTAAGAAAAATCGCAGAGGTATCTTTTCAACTTTCTTAATTAGGTTGTTCCTGATCTTATACACCGGGTCCTATAGTATGTTTTCCACTTTGATTGGATCTGCTGCTTCCAAGATGAGAGTTGCATATCCTTTCACGGGCGGGAGTATAATTTCTTCATTTTCTTGGTTCTTTGATGGCTTGAACTTCATTTCTAATTCTAGAAAGCTCTGGATAATGATGGAAAATGCTTCGAATACTTGGGAAAACCGATGCAGTATACCTTAACTTTCAAGAAATTGTTGATAACTACAAGAATAAGGATCACAAGAAAAGTAATTTCTGATAAAAAAAATAAGGCATTCTCATTGGGTCGATTCTCAAAGATTTTAATGTTACTACTAAGACAAAGAAGAAATGGAGTATATACAGGGTGTTCCACCTAAGAGGGATTCTTCTGTAGCTGTCAAATTTATAAAAAAATGGTTTGAATAAAAGTTGTCTGGAATCATGTGGTCTATGAAAAGAAAATTCTTAGCTTTTGTTCCATTTCGCGTGGCGCTACATAACTTTGTTATTTTAAATGGAACACCCTGTATATTATTGCGTTTTTGAGTTCCTTGGTTAATATTAGGTAGAGTTTATTAAATGTACATGGTGTTTAAAACTTATCGTTTTAGAGATAATCAGCTGTTTTTTAAATAATCACGATTTTAGCTCTCTAAATGAGACTAGATAGCGTCTAAACAGTAAGAGTTAGAAACGTGCAGTTTCCACAGTTCGTTTTGGCATACATTACTCTATTTTGTCATCTGCGAGCAAAATGTGAACATATTCAGACTCGGAAATACTGAGACTTTAATTTAATAATATTTCGAGTTGAAAAACTTTTTTTTTCAAATGGAATAACCCATATTAAGTGAATGCAAAATTGAATGCCCTTCGGCACCGGAGAAAAATAAAATGCAAGGGGAATCCACTCCACATGTCTTTTGAAAGTAAGAGACAACGTAACAGATAAATTAAACATTTCTTTTTTGTAATGCAAACATAGAAAGTTGAATCTGTTTTTCTGACCAAAAAAGCTGAAACAAATCATTGGTCTGGGCATAATGGGTCAGAAAATGTTGAAGTATTTAGTTTCATCGAGCATTTTGACAATTCATGGATAGATCCTGATCCAGTGGACCAAAAAGTTTCAAATCACAAGTTTTTCAGTCAGTCCTGTTCTAACCCAAAAATGTGCAAGTTACAGACGAATTTTTGAGATTAGGAATAAACCATCACCTGATCACTGGAAACTGACTTCATATCAAAATATACCTATAGTGGAAGAGTAGTATATGACTTTTTAGTCCAAAGCCAGTTCCGTTATGTTTTTAACACAAAATGTGTGGTTTAATGCTATTTTGCCAAGTTTATGACCGGATAAGTGGAAATTGACTTCAGATTCGTGACGAACGGTCAAAATACATGGCGATAGGATGGCCCATTAATTTTCAGCACAAGCAATTTTCATTAATTTTGTGTAGTTTCTTTGAAGTTTGCAGTTAGTACGCAAACAAAACCAAAGAAACTGATTTATTTAAAATCGACAAAGTTTTTCTTTTTTAAAAATAAAAACTATTCTGTATTGAATGTAAATAAAAATTTCTAATTGTTCGACTTTAATCATTACTTATTTTTAACTTTCTTATTTCATATATTTACATTTTGCACATCTATAAACAAAAACAGTTAATGCTATCGTTGAATCATTACATGTGACCCAGATCAAACTTTCACTGCACATGTTCAGCAAGTACTCCATGACACATATTTTGACTTCTTTTTATGAGAGATACGCATATCGGATTACGTTTCACATATAATATTTACTAAACGATCCAGTGACATTTTCTAAATTTAATATTTATTTATTAAGATGAAAGTTTACCTAATATTACATCAATTCGAATTTATTATTCATTTCTTTCACAAAAAACTACAGATTCCTTATTATTATTATTTTAATTTTTATTTAACTTTCCAATGAAGATGTTGCACTTCAAGGTTATTGTGACTGAGTGTGTTCAGGTATTTGTTTCTTTTCCTTTGTTCCTGGTATCTTATCTTATACAGAAACTGTTATTGTTATTACCCAGTAAATACAATTTTTTTTATTAAGATTATTCTCTCGTGAAAACTGATCAGTTATTATTATTATTTGCTCATAAATTATAATATGAATGTATACATTACAGCGCGTTCCATTTTGAGCAGTACGGATGGGCAGATTTTCAAAAAAATAGTTTTCAGCATTCGATGAGGTAGATCTGCTATCTCACTATATTTAATTATTACTGCTTTTGTTCTAATTTAATGATCTCTTGTGTTCAGAAAAGGCATTTTGCCACTAAATTTTGAAGAAAATTTATATGTAGGTATTTAGAGAATGAAAGTATTTTTTTGCGGGCATACTTGCTTTAAATTGGTAAACAGTTAAACACAAGCCATATAAAGTTAGTTTCAACGAAGACTAAGCTTTATATGGCGACGGGGAAGCTAAAATCGAACTGTAAGGCGGCTGGCCGTTGCTAAGCAACCTCATTTCACATAAAACACTGACATCAATTAAATAAGTGTTATCTGTTGTAGTGTTAGGTTCGTTAATAATGAATTTCGATTTAGACGATCCCTTAGGAAGCGATGATAGTTTTTTTGAAGAGCCAAAGGCTTTAAGTAAGCTAGCAAGTACAAAACCCGTCGAAAAAAAGTCAATAGAAAATGTATTCAACCTCGCAGATGTAAAAGAAAATGTAGATAGTAACAGAAACGTAGAGACTTCTCAAAAAACTCGAAGTGTCGTTACATTTGACGAGTCCACCATCAAACAAGACGAATTTCCAAAACTAGATACCAAGGTTCGGAAGAAAACTAGCGAAGATTGGTTGGGAGAATCTGACAGTGTACATGACAAAAAAACAAAAAGGACTGACTTTCTGGAAGACTTACTCTATGGGCGTCCTACATCTCCCAAAGAAAAAAAAGTTACATCTGAAGGTACACAGAGAAGCAGCCAATCTAGTACACAGCTTAAATCTTCAGGTCCTGCGCAGGATATTTCTGCCCCTACCGAAGTTTTATCAAACTTTGGTCTGCTATCAAATACTTCTAGAGAAAGAAGAAGGCCGAGAAAAGGTTCTTCAAGCGGCTTGGAGGATGCTTTAGGATTATTTGGAGATGGTTATCACTCGGGAGATTCTCACATCAAGGAAACGAACCCAGTTACTTCGAAAGTTGCTACAGATGTTCAGTTCAAGCCTGTGTACACCACAGAAAAAGGTAAAACAATTCTCTGATAGGCATTTATTATGTTATAACAATAACTGTAACCTTACTAACAAGAACTAAGTTGCCATTACAAAATATTAACGTGTTGCCGCCTACTAGATAAATACAGTTAGATAAAATTTCAACCAAATTTATTGATTCTAAATAATTTTTTTGCTCAGAAATCGCTCATTTTACCTAAAATTATAACAAAAGACCTTTTTTGCTTAGAATGAATCAGGGTACTATTTGAAATGAATTTTTAAATGGTATTTTAGTAATAAGAAAAAAACTTACGTATGAAACAAGTCTTAGGGGTGGCTATTTCTACCCCTTGCAACCGTACAGGAAAATAAAACAATAGTTTGCTGAGTGCCTTCTCGATAGCAGGAAATGTCTACTTAATTCCCATCTCTGTCACTTTTGTGGTATTTCAGAAAAAAAATTAACTACTTTTTGGCACCCTCTTTAAGCGGTTGTTTCTTTACAGGGGATGTTCAAATAAGATTTTTTAATATGAAAGACCCATCTTATTTTTCCACATTTATTCTTTGCGCCCCCATAAAAATTCTTGGTGTGATGATAGCAATAAAAGGATCCGGAGACTTGTATCAACGGAACCAGAGGACAATGTTGGATGGGCTCATTCAGCTTTTTTTTTATTTGCTTAACGGAAAGATATTACAATTTTAAGGTACTCTGCAAAAAATTATAATTTTATATCGCCTACAAGTCATTTATTATTTTTTAAGTAGTGGTTTTTATTTAAAAAATCCATAAGCGTGAACAAACTTACTTCTGGTAAATTAGAAGAATTTGCTTTTACGAAATTTGGTTGCATTTGTTAAATTTAATATGCACAAACGCTAAAACATTCTATAGAATGCAGAAATTCATCTGGAAGTAGCGCCAAGCCGGCTGACATGACTGACATGACTGACATATAGTTTGAAAACCGCTCAACGGATTAAGTTGAAAAATTCACGATCGCCTAAACATGAGCAATACTTTGTGTATACAAAATAAGAACGTTTTTGAAAATTTACTGCCATTATTACCATTTGTGCTGAATGGGAAAATGGTTTTAGACCAATCGCGAAATTAGTTTTTAAGTTAAAAACCAAGTTATGATGATATGAATGACTAAAATTACAAAAGAAATTCGACACATTTACAACCACAAGAATGGAATAATCGCTACCAACATGCCAATAAATTAAAATGTAGTTAATAACTTTAGGACTTGTGCTCGACCTGGATATCGATCAAATTATTATAATCCTTCAAGATAATGATGATTCGGATGGTGAAAGTAACATCTTTCATTCTGATACTAACGACAATGAAAGTTTAGCTTATTATTTTATTCTTATGAATTATATTTACTTACAAGAGAAACTAATACATTACAAATTTTAATCTTCTCTAACCTCTAGGTCTATTTACCTATTTTCAGAATTTTGTATCAATTTGTAATTTTAGATTGTAAATGTATTAACTGTTAGTAAATAAACTGTATTGTCCATAGTCATTACTTTGAAATAGGTATAAATAGGGTAAAATTCAGGTAATTTTGTCAATATATAAAAATATAATGTAAAGCCCTTATTAAATAAATATATTTACCAGACCTAAATAAAATTATTGTCCGGAAGGTACCTGTCCTATTATTAAGGTGAGAGAATAAAAAAGCAAAAAATGTTATGTCAAGAAAAAAGGTGTTGGAAAAAATAAGAGATTGTATATTCTGCGGCATTGTATATTCTGTAGATCTCTAAACAGGCAAAGCTTTGTTTAAAGATAAAACGTTTTTGTGGTATTTAGGAATTTATAACAAATATTGTTTTAATATGTTAAAATATATATTTTTTAAAAGTCCTTGTTGTATTTGGTTAAACATAGAAAAACATTTGTTGATTTTTTTGACAGCTACTTTTTTCACCTATCCTCATGCAACTTTTTTGTAACCTAACCACTTGTAAGCTCGAAAGTCTAATCAGTTCTGTCTTAAAGAAAATAATTTTGAATCTGGATACCAGTATTAGGAAAATTGCTATTGTCACTTCACATATCCAAGCCAATGAAGACTTTCATTGCACAAGCTATGAAATTAAATTCTGAAAAGCTTACTCTGTTCGTTACTGAATTACTTCCACCACCTACTACCATATAAAAAATTAGAGTAGACTAAAAAATAACATTAAAAATAATACACGGCTTTATTTATTGTTTAGGCATTCCTGATTGGCTTGGAGGTTCAGCAACTACTTCAGTTAAATCAGATTCTGGATTTACTAAAAAGTCAGAGGAGTACGTTAAAGACAAAGGTGATGTTACTGAAGGACGAAGTAGTGCGCCAGAAGAACAGGATAAACAAAATGTTACACCGAATATTTCCGAAAAACCAAAAGAATACGACTCATCACTTTCTTTAAAACAACAGCAGATCAGTTTAGATTTGCAAAACACCTATTCGTCCTTACAGCAACAGGAAACGTTTCTGTTAATTTCACTTCAGTTGAAAAAGTACGAGGAAAATTTAGAGTCCATTAAACGCCAACAACGAGAAATATTGGAGAAACAGGAGAAGCGGTACGATTCCATTCTCGATAAATACGCGGTAAGGCAACAGATGATTGAAAATAATATAAGGATGCAACAAGAAAGACTGAATAATCATGTGCAGCTACTGATTTCTCAACCGTTCAATGATGGCAACAAGGAAGATTCGGGTGAGGGTGAAACAATAAAAAACCCATATCTTAACAAAAGTGACATGGAAAATATTATGCGTTCTCTTAGAGAAAAACATAACGAAGAACTTTTTATAATGGAGGAGTCGTACAAGTAAGTATAATCTGAATAATGTGTCAGAAATATATAGGGTATCCCGACTTGAATAGGCCTGGCGACAGAACTCCCCAAAACAAGAAACAAGTTCGCATAAACATGGATCGGTAAATGCTTTTAGATACAGGGTGTTCGCGATTTATCTATTTAGTTTAATTTTAATTCAACCAACAGGAAAAAAATAACAGGGTAAATAAACTACATTAAAATTGTGTACAATGACAACAATTAGATGGATGCTCTTGTCCTGTATATCTAATGATGATAGTGCGAGAATATGGTACAAAAAATAAATTATTAGACCATATTATGAAAATCATTCCATAATTCATTTTGGGAAAACCCTCTAGCTGGGTAAATCACGCCCAATATAAAACTTGCTGGTTTAATTAAAAATCTTTTCTGTGAGCCTTCTCTTACGTTACATGGTAGTTATACAGGGTGGTCCGACTTTTATGCAGGAAACTTCGAGGGCAGATAGATCTCTTTAAAATAATAGGTGTTTCCCTTATAAACATAGGTCTGGAACGGTCTCGTGTTGGAGGTACACGGTGTCGAAGTTGTTAAAAAAAATTGATTTTTTGTTTTTATCTCAGGAATCTATTAACCGCGCGCCATTATTCCATGGCTAGAAATTGGCCTCAATGATTTGGGATCGAGGGGGATTATCCCTCTTTATCCTGCCTCATCTCGTGTAGGCCTGGACAGCCTTCGTAGGTGGGCCCCATCCGTCGTCTACCCCGACCGCAAATGCGGCCGGTGTAGGCGCTTTGTGGGACCTCCTTTTGTCCTGGCTGGGCCCCGCCGGCTAGGGCCCTTTCTTCTGGCGCTCTTCTTGCTTCGCCTATTAACCGATCTCAATAAAATTTGGTTACCTTTAAAGCTCATATGCAAGGCCTACTACCATACATTATCTGTACCAAATTTTATTGAGATCAGTTAATAGATTCCTGAGATATAAACAAAAAATCAATTTTTTTAACAACTTCAACACCCTGTATCTCTAAAACGGGGCCGTTCAGACCTATGTTTATAAAATACCTATCATTTGAAAGAGATCTATCTGCCCTCGAAGTTTCCTGCATAAAACTCGGACCATACCATACCAACACTATTAACTAATTTTCGTAGCACACATATATATTTTTAAGCTATTTACTATTACGTGAAATAAATTTCAAAAAGTCCCCGGTATGCATTTTTCCATTTAAAGTTTCCAGTTTAATTTAAAATACCGCAAAATCGAAAGTATTTACTTTTATGATAAAAAGACATTACTTTAGGTACATTTATAAGCATTTTAAGAAGGAAAGCCTGATATTATTACACCATATATTAAGCAGGTCATGTCCGAGCTATGCTGTAGCCGTATGCCATTCATACAATGTATTTTTTTATATATCTAAAGATAAACAAGTGAACATTTACACAGATAATCGGTTTCATCTGCCACTTACTGAATGAGAAGCAAGATAACTTAAATTTTCATTTATTTCAATTACGGAAATTTAGCATTTCCAGATCCATGTTCAGAATAACGTTTTCTCTTATTTTGAGAAGAAATAAAATATGGTCTATCTAATTCAGGTCACTCTGTATATATTTAGTGTATATATTCCGTGTAGAGTTATGGATAAAAATGTTATAACTTTTTTGCATGTAGGCTTTTACATTCTTTAATAATTTGAGAATTTTATAGTAAAAAGGTGTTCCCTGTATTATTTCGGTAAGTTGCGCTTTTTGGAAGTAAAATTAATTTAAAAATTATAAAAATATCCGTCCTAAATTGTAAACCAGTTGAATCAATGGTGTCATTAAAAACAGTGACTTCGTTTATTTAATTTTTTTTTTTTGTATTTAAAGAATTTGGAGATAAATATATTGTATAAGTTACTGTATAAGGTATTATAGCGTTTTAAGCCTATATAAGTTTCAATATTACCGTAATAGATCTCTACCTGATAGCTACAATTTTGTTATTTAACATTATTTCTAAACTTCAAAATAAGAAAGTTAAAATGCGATAACATGTGCACATAACCAATAACGCGATGCATATGTGTTTATTCATTTACAGAAAGCAAATTTCTCTTATAGAGAAATCCTCTGAGACATTGGAAGAAAGATTAAAAAATGAAGTAAATTATGTTACCAATATGTATGAAGATAAAATTAATAATATCAATAAAAACTATAATGAAGAAATTTCGTACTATAAGCAGAAGATAAGTACAACGGAGGAGCAAAACAGCAAAAATATCGAATTAATAAAAGAACATCATGCTAAAGTTTTAGAGGAACTAAAGGAAGATCATGTAACGCAGATTGAATATTTAAAGCAATTTAATAAAAGGGAAACTGAGCTATTAGCCAGTGGCCAATTTTTTTCACAGAAATTAAATACCAGCATTGAAATGCTTACTGATAACACTAAACTTCTACAAGGAGTTCAAGAGAAAATTAACAATGATTCTGACGCTATATCAGTTGCTAGACAGAGTTCCATCGAATCAAGGGAAAAGGAAATTATTCGTAAGTATAAAATAATATAATCCACGAAAAAAAATAATTTCATAACAATAACATTAAAGTTATGATTCGAATAAAGAAATTTCCAAGGAATGCCTTGGAGGTTAATGTTTCTATACCATTGGGTTTTAAAATTACAAAATAAATTGGCAACCTTAAATTTCCTGTTAAATTTAAAGTTTTTAGTAGATGTATGAAATCCACATTTCCGTTTTATTGCCACGCTATTGCTCAGTAGATATGAGTTTTTTTTTTATCAAAAATTGTTAATAATGACATCCACATAGTTATTTTGAATAAGTTCTGAACCACCTACTTACTACAAATATGATGAATGTGAAATATGTGATGTGATGATTGTGAAATATGTATGTGATATAATGAATGTGAAATATGTATGTGATACGATGACGTATGTGATATGATGAATGTGAAATATGTAATCTGGTGAATGTGAAATATGCGATGACTGTGAAATATGTGATGAACCTAGGAAAAATATGTTAAAACATTTTCCCATTTCTCTATTAACTCTGCCAAACAACATCATGCCCATCTACGAATATGTGCAAGATTGCTAATAAATCTATTGTAATTTAGTTATGCGTAACACCTTGGAAAAGTCTAGAGAAGCCGCTGAAAATGAAAGGTCTCAGCTACTGGCCCTGATTAGGAGCTTAGAAATGAAAATTGCAGAACAAAATGTCAATGCGCAGGAGGATAGATGGGCATTGCAGCAAGCTTCTGCGACATTGGTAGCTAAATCGGCAGCTTTAGAGAGAGAAGTGGAATATAACAGGACTATCAATGAAAGAGAACGAGAACAGTTAAAGGTATGCAAATTAATTTGAGATGATTTCAACTGCTGTTGTGTCGAATGTAACGCTTTAAGATATAAGATTAGACTGGACTAATTTTGAAACTTTTGACAGATCCTTATTAATTCGCATTTCTCACTCGATTTTCGAGAAAAATTGAACATTGGGAAAATCGTATCTCAGTATCTATCTTGATTTGTTTCAGAGATTTACGGCGTTTTTTAATTTTTTTTGCCATTTTTTAAGTTGTCGAGTTTTCATTAGTGATTTTCTTTTGTTTCCATAAAAAGAGGTTATTAAACTGCCCTTAGCGTATATTACATCTGTATGCCTGTATCTCCTCTAGGGAAAATATTTATAGGAACTTGTCATGTTATTTTAACGTCCCCTGTACAAATCTGAGAGATTGCCCACATACTCTGGGACACCCTGTATATCACGAATCTAAATATATCTTCCAATTTTTTAAATCTGAGTAAAAAATCTTTTCCAATAAGGTACCTACATATTTATTATACTTAACCAATATTTATGCAAAAATATTAGGTGTATTTTTTTATGTATTGATAAAAAATGCGTGTCACAATTACCTACTTCGAATAAAAAAAAATCATTATTAAAACCAAATTATTTAGAAGTTTATTTCAAGAACTCTCACTTTAAATTTTTACGCAGGTATTTTTAGGTTTTAAAGGAAGATACCTTTTACCGCTATGTTAAGATCCTGAATCGTGGAATTTTTAACAGTCGTATTTGAAATTAAATTATTTACTTTTGCAGACGGTAATCTTTCATGCTTTTCTAATTTTTCAGACATTAAAAACATCTCTATTAGCGGAACAGGAAAAAATCATTGTACAACTTACAGAAGAAAAATTAAAATTATCGGCAGAAAAGGCGCGAATCGAAACCTCAAATAAATTATCCAACAACTATGAATCTGAAAAGATTAAAGCGGAAGCCGAGATGGCTATTCAAGTGGCTAAGGATATCTCTCAAAAGGTTAGCCAAGAACGGGAGTTCTTATTTCGTCAAAAAAGTGATATTGAAGCTCTAAAGAGAGAATTGAACGACCGTGAAAGGGAGTTGCAAGACAAAGAAATCAATTTAGAATACCTAATTGAGAACACCCAGAGAAAAATTAACGATGATAAGAAAATAATTAACGAAGCGAAAAAATTGGAAACTAAGTATAAAGAGCGCCTACAGGAGTTGCAGAATCAGTGGGCGTCATTAGCTGACAGAGAAAAGAAGTTAGCTGAAGAAAAAGTATTGCTGTCAAAGGAAAGATTAGCTTTATATACGACAATCAAACAAACTAAGAACTGTGCATTGTGTAAAGGAAATGATTTACCAATTCATAATGGTAATTATTACATAGAAGATAATTTGCCAAACTTAAAGGTGGGTATAATGTCTTCAATACTTCTACAGGGGCGGCCAAAAAGTTTGCAACTTATGAGAATATTTTTTAATATTGAAATTAAAAAAAAACGTTATTGGCAATTGTTCCTGAGTCTTTAACAACTAAAAAATTGATTCTAACATGTTAAAAATTACATTTTTTTTGGGCACGTATAACCTATAGAAAAAAGTTAATTCGAAAAATTATTCACAATTCAAAATTAGGAAATATTAAACTTCTTTTCCAATACATTTTCTTACACTTCGAAAAGTTGCGACAGCATGTTATAGGAAATTTATTCCAGTTTTCGAAACTGCCCTTCAATTCTCTATACGACCATTTGTCGCCAAGATATCGATGACTGAAAACAAAAGGATCCTTTTCCATTAAAAGTCCGATATTTCGATGAAAAATGGCCGTATCGAAAATTAAAAAAAAGGAAATTGAAGCTGAGTAAACAAGCCATCTGGTCCATGCAATTGCTTAGTTGGAAAAAATTCCGTGGACTCGGAAAAAAAAAATTGCAAAATTTTTTTGTCGCGCTGTCTGCATAATAACCGTAACTCCTAAAAAATTTCGACCGAATGATCTAAAAACTACAATCTTAGAGCTTCAAAATGCTTTTTTTAATTCCCGTTACGACCATTTCTCACTTAAATACAGTCTGTCAAAAATCACGGAAAAGTTTCGGAAATTCTTTTGACCCTTTAATTTTTTGCATTAGTTTATGTGTAAAATTATGGATATAGAAATATTAAATTTCATTTCATTTTATAGTTAATGAGTTGGTAATGGTGTTTTGTTTATTTAATAATATATTCGTTGCACAAAAGAGCCGTCAATTTAGAGAATTTTATAAATTTTTTACTATAGTTTCTATTGTTTTCTTATTAATGTTTTATACCTCGTCCATCCCTGACAAATTTGTTAGTTTTTGTGGCTTTATAACCTATTTTAGTTAAACTGTTATCTTATCACAATTTATAAATAGGGCTGTCAGAACTGAGCCGCGGGACATAGGCGTACCCATTATTTACTAAAAAGTGACAAATTAAATTGTCTACAATACACCACCATATAAGAATTAATTACGCAACATCCGCACGATAATAAAGCAGCAGTATACTAACGTGGAAAGTATTCGGAGGCAGCACACAGACGAGCCGGCGAAGCAAGAAGAGCGCCAGAAGAAAGGGCCCTAGCCGGCGGGGCCCAGCCAGGACAAAAGGAGGTCCCACAAAGCGCCTACACCGGCCGCATTTGCGGTCGGGGTAGACGACGGATGGGGCCCACCTACGAAGGCTGTCCAGGCCTACACGAGATGAGGCAGGATAAAGAGGGATAATCCCCCTCGATCCCAAATCATTGAGGCCAATTTCTAGCCATAGAATAATGGCGGTTCACGCGTGTCTCGGTTGACCCGCTTTGCACGCCATTGAATTGCGGCTCTCTCTACAGCCTTAGTTATAAATTATTATTATTTATATGTGCAAAAAAGACAATTGTATTATAAGTTAACATATTATTTTCAGATGTCAGATACGAGTGGTATTAGGTTTCGACTGGATGCCATTGAAGATGAAAAAAGCAGCGAGGTTAGCAAAGAAGAAAATTAAAGTTTTCAGTTTTATCATAAGATCCAAATCTGCCAAATATTTCAATGTTTTAATAAATCGACTTATTTATAGAAAGGTCTATTACTTTTACTAATAAAAAAACAATATTTATTTACTTAACTGCTCGATTAAATAATGCACCACAAAATATCTTTATTTTTGTCACAGATAATACAAAAAAGGTGACACTTCTGCATAAAGGTTTGCACTTTTTCTTGAAATATTAAGTTTTAATAAATGAAAAAGGAGTTGCGATAAGCAATACCAAGGGATGTAAAATAATGTCACTTGGTCACTTTGGTTAATTCACTTTCAGTAGAGTTCTGTCCAAGTTCGTTTTTTTTAAACAAGTGAACAAACCAAAATCCGTTCCCCCCTTTCAGATCTAACCTAGCCTAATATCGTGGTTAATAAGTCCCCGCCCGCTAACCTTTTCTGTTTCAGAGACAGCCAGGATCAAGAAATGAAGACAACGACACACACACACATACACACACATACACACCCCCCATACCCTCCTTACCCCTCCCCTCCCGCGCTAGCCTAAGGGCCACCTTAGCAAAGCGCATCCAAGGCTGCATAGCCGCACTGCCCTACCCAACCATACCACACATAAACATGACACTACCCCCGGGGTTTACACAGACGAGTCGGCGAAGCAAGAAGAGCGCCAGAAGAAAGGGCCCTAGCCGGCAGGGCCCAGCCAGGACAAAAGGAGGTCCCACAAAGCGCCTACACCGGCCGCATTTGCGGTCGGGGTAGACGACGGATGGGGCCCACCTACGAAGGCTGTCCAGGCCTACACGAGATGAGGCAGGATAAAGAGGGATAATCCCCCTCGATCCCAAATCATTGAGGCCAATTTCTAGCCATAGAATAATGGCGGTTAATAAGTGAACAAGATAACTGAACAAGACATAACCTACAAATAATAATAATCATAAATCTAAATAATAAAAATAAGCCGTTGATAATGCATATGGGATTCATCCGAAGAAATTCGGACAAATCTTTTAATTCTAAAAACTTTTCTTAATATTTTTACAAATTTTTAAAAACAAGGTCACCGTAATATTTAATTTTTTTTCATTTTTTGATATGTCCTGTACGCTGTTTGCCTTGGAGTCATTCTAATTGAACATGTATCAACTTCTGGCAGCATTCAAAATTTTTATTAGCAAATAAATATACAAAAATTGTCTGGACTTACGCTGTACGTGTATTTACCGGACACCCTGTGTATGGTAGCAGGAAATGTTTCGATACCAATTGAATTATATTGGTATAAGTACCGGGTGTCCCACAAATAGACATAGGCATATATATAGTAGGATAGTATTCGATGCAAAGTAGAGCAAAAAATTGTCGGTCTTTTATCAAAGGAAAATCGTGTTATCATTTTTAGGAGGCGTAAGATGAACTATTTCAAATTTAAAATGAAATCGAATGTAAAATCTGAAATACCGCTGCATACGCACTGTGTTCTGGTAGTAGCTGTAATTGCCCAGGTGCATCGAGTGTACGAAGTGGTCGGTTATACGTTAAATACTAACCTGGCGAGCTTGTTCGTATATCAGAGAGCGCCTCCAAAAAACAAGTAAACAGTGGCGCGTACAGAGGTAAAATGTAGTACATATGTGGAATTTAAAAAACAAATTGGATTTATAATAAATTACATTTAAAATAAACAGTTTATGAGAATAAAGGAATTTTTGTAGGAACAAGGGTGCCAGACGTGATCTGATCCCCCCGTCCCTTCATAATGTATAAAGAAATTATTCAATCTCTAAAACCCTTAAAAGCGTACTGCATTGGATCCCTTGACAGGCAATGATTTATTACTTTGCATCGAATATGATCCTACTATAGGAGTACCCAATCAGCAGCACGTTTTAAGGGAATTCTGAATCGCGGAAGGATGGTACTGTCCCCGTCAGTAAAGAGACGAGCGGGGTATCGCAGTAGCGCGCTAGCCCTATCACCATGGAGAACGTCAAGGGCATCAAAACAGAATAATTTCTATTGATTGTTTTATTTTATTATCAAATAAAAACTTTCTAAATTTCTATTAAAAAAAAAATTAAAACGCTAATTTTGCTCATTTAAAATTTTCAAACCCTCACTCGAAGTCCAAGTTTCTGAATTTTTTTATTTATTAGTGAAAAAAATTACAATCTCGCGAAATTGATTTTATATTTTATTTATAAAAAATCCCCGCTTTTAACCCGAAGTCACAATAGGGTCGTTATCTTAGATTGAATTTGTTATTATTTTTCAGTAGCTTATATATTTACTTTCATTAATTTACTTTTCAGAAAAAATGGATCACAAAGGAACAATATCAAAATAAAATTTAAACATTTTCTGTTCTATATAAACTTATTGTCTCTCTCGCTGTGTCGTCAACTCGTATAGATGCGCAATCGAGATATAAACAAAATACACAGAAAACGATTTGACATCGGTTCATGACAGTTTTGATACTTTATAATTTGAGGTTAATATCACAAAAACCTACTAGATCTATTATTTATTATTATATAGTGAGTGTGGCAGTGATAATTGATAAGTATATTGTAATTTTCCATATTCTCCATGTTAATTAAAATTATAATCAACAAAAACACAACCAGTTACCAACAGAACAAAAAATAGTAAATGGTAAATGTGTAAATGTAAATGACAAGAAAATGTAACTGTTCCAGCTATGTCAGAATAGCCAACTTAACTTGTTGTACCAACTTAAATTTAAAGCGTAATGCGCATGCGACATAGTTGACGTCACAACGCCTTATAGAAAAGGATGGAAAATGTTCATACCTATTTTAAAGTTGTATATCTCGGTTAATATTAGTAAAAGCAAATTTCTGAAAAAAGCTATATTAAGTTTGAAACATACTGAATTCAAATAAATAAAAAAAATATGTGTGAAACGACCCTATTGTATGATTTTCTTTTATTTGTGAAAAAATATTAAATCACAGAATTTTACCAATTTTTTAATAATTAAAAATCCTCGCTGTTAACCTGAAGTCTGGGCTTCTCATTTTTTTATTTATGAAAAAAAAAAAAATCTGGCAGTATTTAATTTTGTATTTATTAAAAATTCCTGCTTTTAGCACAAAGTCTGGACTTCTGATTTTTTTTTATTTGTAAAAAACGAAATAATTTCGCGTATTTTAACCTTATTCTTTTATTGTATATTTCCGCTTTTTATTTGACGTCCGACTTTTGCAATTTCTAAAAATCATTACGATGTATTCTTTAAGCAGAGTAGTCAAAATATAAATCGACAATGTGGCAATCGTCCGAACATTGTACAAACGTCGATGACAACTGCCACAGAAGTCTGTAAAAATTAGAGGTGTGTTTTTAATTAATAAAAAGTATATATAGATATATTAAAAATTTTAATAACAACCGTAGTTACACAAATCGAAATTAATAAAGCATACTCTACAAATTGTGCAATTAAATTCCTATTAAAAAAATAAACAAATAAAGCTACTAAATGAGATATTTTTTATAATAAATTTTACACAACATTTTATACCTGATTTCTAATTGAAAAATAATTTATAACTAGGGCAGATGAATTCACTAGGGCTGAAGTTCTCTTAAAACAAAAAAGTTAGCATTTAAAGCTTTTACATAAATATTTATATATGGATTAGTCAACAATTACAAGAAAAAAAAAACAATAACAAATTACAGAAAAAAAAATTAGAAAGCCTCAATTTCTTTAGAAAAACTATGTTATTCTTATAAATATGAATTTATGTGATAGCTTAAATGACAAAGAAATTTGGTACAATTTAACAAAAACTTATTTGTTCGCATTAAAATATAACATTAAGTTATGAGCATTTTACTTAACAGAAATCAGTTCACATGCATATACCTTAACATAAAATAATATGACTTGACTAATTACAACATGACTTTGAGGTGCTGGATTGTTGCCTTCGATCTACCATGACCCTGTCAATATGATCTCCAGGCTCTCTTCCAGCGGTTTTGTCCAGAATTGCTTCTGCGAGTTCATTAAATGCTCTTTCGATATTTATATTGGCTTTAGCAGAGGTTTCCATAAATCTTATACCATGTTCTCGAGCGATCTGTAAACAAACCGTGTTTAGCAGAACCCAGACTAAAGGGAAAACAAATTTTTCCAGCTAGAAAAGTACAACATCGGATAATAACTCGCGGAAGATACCAAATTTTAATATAAAAAAATTCGGATATTTCCAGGTTTTCCAGGTAGGTAGGAAAGTGTTTCTCTTCAGCCAGATATGTCAGCAATAAGATCTGCTGAAGCCTGAGAGACGCACACTACAAGTGATTTCCCCAGCAAAGTCTTGAATAATTTTTTTTTAAACAATAAAGACTGCAAAAAATGACATTGTTTTGTTTCTTTTATAACATCTTGAAAAATAATGACGGAATCGTCTTACTCTCAATAGGACTTTTGTAGAGAATAAAAAACCTATAAAATGGTTGTTTGTGCGACCCGATTGGTTCATTTTTTACAGAGAAAATCCGGAAAACCCTCTAAAATAGACCTTTTTTCAAAAATTCATAAAATCCGTCAGTGACCGCAAAAAACCTGTGATTTTCGCCCGTTTTTTCACAATTCGCAGAGAATTAAAAAAAAAATACATAAAAATATGTTTTTGGTCGCAAATTACTTGTCGTAAAAAACTGAAATGAGTATAGCTTTTAGTATTTTGAGAATTTTAAAAATCACCCCTATTTAAAGGTTGAAAAAATGCCAAAAATAAAGAATTTGAATATTACCAATTGATATAAAAACTATTAGCATGTGAATTATCTTAATACATTTTTTTTTGGAATTTTACAATTATTTCTGATATTCTCTATTTTTGAGGATGATTAATGAGCACGCTTAAGGGTGGATTTTCTAATTCAACATGCTTATTTCAGTCATGAGAATAAATCTTTCTTTGTATCAAGAATCATTCGATAGAAAAATTCACATGCTAATAGTTTTTATATTTATTGGTAATATTCAATTCATTTTGGGCGTTTTTTCAACCCCTAAATAGGGGTGATTTTTGAAAATTTTCAAAAAACTAAAAGCTATGCTCATTTAAATTTTTTATGATGAGTAATTTGAGACCAAAAACATATTTTTAGATTTCTGCGAATTGTGAAAAAACGGGCGATTTTTGCGGTCACTTTTTGAAGCTGAAAAAACAATCTTGCCGAAAATGACAGATAATAATATGTAGTTTAATTGTGCGCAAGATGGTTTCTGTCTGATACATAGTTTTTGCACAATTGCGTTATAAACAAATTAGGTTTTTTTTTGCACAGCGTGGCGATTTATCAAAAATGGTCCGATTTAAATTCTGAAAACGGCATCTGAAAGTAGACGACAAAATCTCCAATTTGTATATCTCGGATTTTCGTCGGAGTGATGGAAATATGCTAAAAATGCCCTTAAAAGTCGCCCGAAACGATCGAAAGTACGCTAATTTTTGTAAATTCGCCTCCCTCTTTTTCCAAAGTTGAACTTTGAGATCCCTTAGATAGAATTCTTCCTTTTCTTCAAGATTCTTACAGTGCCCTCTTCAAGAGCCTCTTTTAGACTTCCTTCAACTCTTCGTTATACTTCACAGTTCAGGGTTCATAGTTCAAAAGTAATAAAGAATTCCCCGACTTTTCCAGGTTTTCCGACTTAAAAAAAATTCAGGTCACTTGTAGCTAAGTTTTACATACTAATTGGTGTTTATGCATTAAATTTTTTCTTTACTGGACTCCTTATTCTTTTTTATACCCTAACAACACCTCTTATAAAGGTTTCAAAACCACAAATAGTTTTCTCTTTCAAGAACCCAGGGCCGGCTTTCACAAAATTTCCAGTTGCAAACATCAAATTCCCCGACATTCATGAACATATTTAAAATTCCCTGACTATTCCGTTTTTTATGAAGAATAACAAATTCCCTGACTTTTCCTAGTATTCCCGGTTTTCCCGGCCGCTACAAACCCTACAGTTATCATTGAATGCTGAAATGCATCCTGTACTCGTTTTGCTACCATTTCCAGGTATGCCTTGAAAGCTTCAAGTGTGAAATTGATCATAGTTTGCCAAAACACTTATTGAATCAAAAATCATAATAAGAGGATAACAAACTGCAAAACTAATTTTGATAATTTATAGCATATGCCACAACAGCAATATCACACGATATCGGCTCAGGTTAAGAGTGCTGCGTACTTTGAATTTCAAATATATTCTAGCATCCTGTATATTTCTGTTTCATGGAGGTTGTCACTCAGTAATCGATTATTGACACTAGCTTTGAAATTAATATAAACATAGGCATAAAGCTTCCTGGACTTGTTATAAACCCACGAGTAGAACTTTGAAATAGCACTAGTATTTCCAAAAATATAAAATTGCAGGAAATACCTATACAATTAGTTTATGAGAATATTGCTTAACCTTATCTTACTCTGTATCTGTATAATTTAGATAAAATTAATAACAACTTAGTCAAAAAATTGATATTCATTAATAAACTGTTAAATATACTCACCGTTTCTCCCCTTTCTTTACTAACTATTCTCTTGTCAGTCATATCACATTTATTTCCTAAAATCATTTTTTCTACATCTTCATTGGCATGCTAAAATAAACAAGTTCAACATGTACTAGTAAAATACGAACATTCTTATTTTACATATTTGAAGTTATCCACAAATTTCCATCCTTACTTTGTACAGATCTTATTGCAAAAGACAACATAAACACTGTATTCCCTGCCCATTGTGTAACTTCTAAATTAGTTATTTTAAGATATGATCTAATACTTCTTTGCTTTTAAACATATTTAAGTATCAACTTACACATTTATTCTAGTCTATTAAGCTAGTTCGAACAAATTAAAAATTTATTTGATAAGATTTAGACCATTTTTTTAATTTGAATTAGCTACCTTTAAAATGACAAAAAATGTCTTTGCTTTTTGCGAACAGAGTTAAAATATTGTATGTAATATTTACAGGCCTGTTACACTTACAAAATGAAAGAAATTACTTGGTATATATCTTGTTGTAAATTAGTTTCAATAGGATCAGCATAAATTGTGGATTTGTGGATCACTTCACACAACCCGAGAATAAATCATACAATTAACAATTGTGACACTCATTCTGAAAACTCAATCTAAAAGATAGGTACCTCATCTATGTTTCGTAACCATTTCACTATATTTTCAAAACTTTTCTCGTTGGTTATATCATATACAAGCATTATTCCCATTGCGCCTCTGTAGTATGAAGTTGTAATTGTGTGGAATCTTTCTTGTCCAGCGGTGTCCCATATCTGTAGTTTGATTTTTTTACCTCGTAATTCGACAGTCTTTATTTTAAAATCTATACCTAAAAAATTTACAGATTTTTAACGTTTCTATAACTTTAAAAGTAAATAGTCTGCAAATCACATGATAGAATATTAAGTAAATACCAAAAAATATAATTATAAAACAATGTTATCATAATAAAAAGGACATACCTATAGTTGATATAAAAGTTGTTGTAAACGCATCATCTGAAAATCTGAATAAAATACAAGTTTTGCCTACCCCTGAATCACCAATTAACAACAATTTAAATAACAGATCATATGTCTTTTTTGCCATTTTCGTTTATATTTTTGACGCTTAATAATTATTAATCAAAAATAACTTCATATTCATACCAACCCAAAGCCAAGAATAATACTAGGGGGTAGGGTTAACGAAAATTCACTCCGGGTATTTAGCTCAGGTTACCATGTTTATCCTTGTCACTCTTATGGTTTTAGAAAGCGAGAATACTATGTCTAGATCACTACGATTTAATATTGATAGACCCCTACAGGGTTTGTGAATAATAATCTGAAATTCAGCAACGTCATGTTTTGTACAATTTTAAAACGTAACAATTATTGTAATATTTTAATTAATTTTAATATAAGTTTATGTTTGATTCATTTTACTCTTTTTCAATTTACAGTTTTACATTCACATTTTTCGTAAAATTATTATTTAATAACTGACAAAAGTAATCCTAGAGGGACATTCAAAAGTGTGTAAGGTCTCCATGGTGTTGTGTGATGTCACTGGAATTGAAATAAAATAATAATAAAAAATTTGCTATTTCCAATCCTGAAATTATAGTTTCTAGATATTTGGGGATTTTTAAAAATAGTCTATCATTACTTATATTCTACTTATTATGTTATACTTATACATCGCAAATACTTTTAGAAATAGAATTTTACATATGACTATTTAGTTACTCATATGGAATTTTATATCATGGGGAACGTTCCGTAATTAGCTTCAGTAGAGCTCAGTAAGCGGATCAGTTATGTTCCGTTCATTTCATTTCAATCTGTTGTCAATTGGTCAAGGGTTGAGAGTGCGACGTGAGTCATAGCAGTGGCTAATGGTACTGCGAGTGTGCGAGTGACGACATATGACAGAATTTCAAGGGAAAACTACGATTCTCCAGAATAACGTAGAAACATCGAATAATAAGGGTGCGTTTGGTTAATCGTTAACTGTTCACATTGATTTGAGAAATAATTGGACTTGATAATTATTTAGGTAAGACATATTTCAATTTTAAAATATATTCTGTCTAAATTTTGATTTTAAATCGGCGAAATAGTCATTTGTTGACAGTTTTACAAGCTTGTACAATTTGTGTTCCACACATACATATTAATGGACCATTTATAGTTTTCCTTTTATATAAAAATGCGTAGATGCTGGTGCTTTCATGCAGTTTACAAAATAACAGTAATATATAGCAAGGCTACAATATTAAATTAGAGGTACTTACCATTTGTAGATTACTTTTCATGTAAATATTAGTGTTTAGGTATATTACTTTATTAATACCCAAATATTAATAGTTAACAATTAGATAAGTTAAGTATAAACGAAGATAACGTTTTAATTTTGTATTTCTAATCCATTATAATGCATATCGTTGTAAAAACTGCATATTATCTATTAATAGGTATTTCCTATTTATCATTTTTTGCAAGTTATTTAATTATTTATTTTTAAGCGATGTACATATTTGAAATAATTTTGTTATTTCATTATGAAACAAACCTTTACATCTCTATTTATATATTTTTTTTCAGTTGTTGAACTTCTATAAATTTCACTTATCATTTTTTGAACGTACTTATGTGAATTGTGTACAAACAAATTAAGTAGAATCCTTCTATAAACTTTTTGCTCATGATTTCTGAACTTCCTGTATAAAATTGCCTCGGGAACAAGAATTTGGCTAATAACATCGTTCTTGATACTTGTACTTTGAAAACAGGTTTTTTAAAAAGATTAATAACAATTACAAAACAAATTCTTTATTAACAATAACCTAAAATACAATTTATTTTATACTAAAACCAAAGTGAACAAAAAATATAAAGATATACTATGTTATGTAAAAATAAATTCTATTTTATCCAAAGTTTATAAAGCTATCCATGGTTCAACCTTAATTTGATATCGATTTTAACATAGTAGTAAAAGAAAATTAGCTAAACTTACAGTTTACTATTTCTAATATTACTTTTTTAATTTTAGGTTACCATGTCGCAGTGGAATAACGGACCTTATGCACAAGGTAAGTAAGTTATACCCATATATAGGTATTAACTATATGCGCAAATAACGTCTCAAGTAAAAAATAAAACTGTGGCACTACCAGAATTTATATTACCTATTTAAAAATTTGCAATTTTTATTATTTGATGCTAACCCTATCAGGCCATTCAAATCTGAACCAGAATTTGCTGCCTTAGTATCATATGAAAAATAAGCACAATCACATTTTTGGTACTCCATTACCATTAATTATGCTTAAATATGTCATTTAGTGGGAAAATTCATGGAAATGATTATATTTCAGCCAACCTGGGTAATGTGTGTTCGTAGACTAAATAACCAATAATGTAGCATGCATGCATTAGGAACTTTCTTTGACATTAGCAACAAAAAATATGACGAAAAAAACTTATATTACCAAGGGTGTTCCTTAGGACTTTTATGTTTTAGGTAAAAAGCAAATATCCAGCTGATAAAATTTCTCTGAAATATCCCAAAAAATAAGAGATCCTATATAAATTAAATAAAACCAAATTCTTTGAAGTCTTGTAACATTATTATAACAAAGCAAAATTATACTACAAGGTAACTTGATGTAAACAGGTTTACTTTTATTATAGAATTCTACTCTTGAGGGTATATTGGATTGATAAATAGGTGTTTCCAGTGAATATTTACTGTTTTCATAATACAATTGAGAATAAAATTTTATTTTACAAATGACAAAGAGACATTGCTTTAGCTTCCACTAATTATGATTGATTGTTAAAAGTAACCATTACTAAATTAACCAATTTTTTTATTGATTTTATCACATTCATTAAAAAACAAACATATTTTTTTATATCAACTCTATTTACCAGCTTGGTAGTTGATAAATAGAAGAATACTATGAATGCCTTTATTATTCATATCCAATGACTGGACGTTTTCCTAAAAATCTGATTACTTAGATCTACTTGATAATACGTGGTAGTTAAGTTTTCCTTATCTGTAGGATGTTTGTTATAAAAGTTTCCGTGATAACGTAAATCCCCTAAAATTGGATTTTTCTCAGGTGTATATTTATGAGTAATATTTATGTTACTAAAATTAAAAAACAGAGGAAATTTATTATACTTTATATCAGAACTATATTGAAACAGGAGAACAAAAATCACTTCAATCCGTGTTTACAGACAATGCAAAATTTATGTGCATATTTAGGAGCAAGTTTAATTTTTTTCAAAAAATTGCTTACGTGAAGTTGGCGCAGTGCTATTTGGCTGCGTTAAGTGGACGGTCGGGCTGGTAAAAGTCGGTCTGACCTATCGGATGATTGTGCAAGACGGTCGGATTTGATTGTTGGGCTTTCGAAGTTAAAGTCGTTACCTACGCCAATGATTTTTCTGTAAAATTGTAGGATTTGTTTACATATTTTATTATACATACATCACTAAACCTAACCTACAAAACCTGGACCTCCTGAAAAAATATTAAATAGAAAGTTATAAAACTTCAACAAAAACGTTAAACGCCGGCAGCATCGGCCTCTGGCGATGTCTTTTACTGCGACTTTAGTATATTATTAAAAATATTATTTTTCGCGCCGCGTTTTCTGCTTCTCATGAAAGTAATTTGGGTCACCTTGGACTTAGTTTTTTATTTTGTCTGCGATTGACACTGCGTAGTGTGGTTAGAGACGGCTTCGTGGTTCCGATTGAAAAGGCAAGCGAAAATTTGAAATCAAAACTTTTAATTTCCATATATACGTAAGTATGCTACGAATCGTATTTGAACAGTTGAAACATAGATCTAATAGGGACTAATTAGATCTACGAGTTGAAACGTGAACGTAATTTTAAATATTGTGTAAAATTTTCAAGAAACGTTACCGAGATTGCATAATAAGTTGATTGATGCGAAGATGTACGGCTGCAACAGCTGTAAATTATCAGAAAAAGGAGAGAAAATTAACATTTTCATTCCAACATATGACACGATTTTGCCAGTCTTTCTCACAAGTGACGTCATCACATGCGCGTAGGTACACCATGCTATTTTGACACTATGGTAAAATTACTTAATTTGAAGACGGTCGGATTTAACTTCGTACCTTCGAAGTCAAAGTCGTTAAATCAATATGCGTGTGTTCAACGTCACATGCAAAATTAGAGCTAACTAGCGCTGTACTTAGCTCTAAGTCCTGCTAGCATGGATGGATGGCCAATTTTGGATTTTAACAGATGATACCTGTGTTTGTTTATCAACTTAACCTCCAATTAGTTTGTTTTTCTTAACCTATCTCTATCATGTATAACGACGAAGTAGATGTTTACTATATATCAAATCTCATATCATGAAAATTTATAATAAAATACAAATAAATATATATTTATATAGCTTTCTTTTTATTTAAAACATATACATTTAAAAATAATTTAGGCCGGTGTGTAGAAAAATTCTCCATATTTTGTTCTAAAAAAAAGTGTGTGTGTGTGTGTACATTTAATTTAATTGTTAATTTACTTGTTATCACTTTGCAAAAATTATATGAATTCTGCATTCGGTGTTCATAGTAATTTTTAATGATTACTCTCGAATTTTTTTGAGAAATTCTATTATAGCTTATGTCGAGTTAACGCATGTATTGAATTGAACTTATTTGACCTCATTTACTTCATGTAAAGTAAAATAAGTGTAGTTGTTGCAGGCGATTATGAACTGTGACATTGAGAACGCGACGCGACATACGAGTAATTACTTAATAATTGAGTAACCTATACTTTTAACTTTTAATTCAACCTAGTATGCAGGGTATCCGGAAATTCCGTTCGTATATTTGGAAAAGTGTTCATATTGACTCGACGACGACAGAATCACATTTTCGACAAAAATTTGACCATATTTGTTACAGTGACATTAATAAAAATGCAGTTAAAGAACGTTGTCCTTTACCGCTAATCCTGATCAAATCAGATATGGAATCCAGTTTTCAATAGACGGAAGTCGAAGAGGTGTCAAAACATTTCACATCTCTCATTTCTCCTGACGTTTGCACGAGTACAATGGGATGCCTTTTGGTTTTATTAACTTGCCTGCAACTTACCAAATGGTCATTGATAAAACATATGCAAGATTGAAGGGAAGGCTTAATCCTGGTTTATATGAACGACGTTCTTATCTCAGCGAAAACTAGACGAAGTCGTTAAACATTTAGAAAATGTTTAACTTCATCTATAGCTGGGTTCCGCCTAAACTACGAGCATGGGCGTAGCTAGGGGGAGGGGCAGGGGTGTAATTAATAGTATTATCACCTTTGTCATATTGGTAAGTCGGTGACTGCGTGACTTTTTATATCGGTAAGTTGCTAATTTCCAGAGTGTTTTTTGAGACCTCCATATATCTTGCAGTCCTGAGCCCACCCCAAGTAAAACTTATAGCTACGCCCATGTCTACGACGTTTAACTTTACTTTTAAACAATATTTTGGTGTAGTTCTTAGTGATGGAACACTACTAGTCCGCGTAAAGTACCTACGTGCTTTTATGAATGTGGCTAGTTATTTTCCTCCGTTGATCGAACAATTTTTGGTACTTACAACGCTTATAACTGTCTTGTTAAAGAAAAAGTGTTTCATTGGTCGGTAAAATGTGAACCGGCGAGACAGTTACTGAAGAATTGACTAATAAACCAATGTTGCGGATTTTTGAGACTAAAAAACGAGTATCAAAAAGCATCGTCTATAGGTCTTCAATTTGGCAGGGAGTCGGAATTCCTAGTTCACTCATCTTTTTGCGCTAGTTTTATCCAAACAACACCATGAAGAAGTTTAGCAGTCGGATTAACGGACACCCTGTGTACTGAAAATAATAAACATGTACTCTCTGTAATGGTTTTGTTTTTCGTGTTTTTTTCTTTGTTACTAAACAATTTGTTATCTTTTATAGATCCCAATCAAGCATATTATGCTGGTCAACCGGGATATCCTCCACAACCTGGTGCTTACCCACCTGCTGGGGGCTATCCAACTGCTCCACCCAGTGGTTACCCTGGTGCAGCTCCAGCGGGGTACCCACCTGGGCCTGGATTTCAGCCACCACCCTATGCACCAAATGACCCATATAGTGCAGGTGAACAAACACCCTTCTCTAATAATGCTGGTTCGTTTTCACTTTTAATATGGGAATATTAAAGACTATTCAGAAAACTACTTAGTAGGAATATATGTTTTGTAGGTTACACTATGTCAGTTTGAAAACTTCCGACCGTCAGTATTTTGAAAATAGGGTCGTTTCCCATAATTATTTTTATACAAAATATGGATAGTCTTTTCGAAGTCAGTTGAATATGTATAAAAATGCCTAGCAAAAAAATTTATTGAGTTTCATTCTGCTAAAGGTAAAAAATTATAATAATTTGTATATAATGTGTAGAAAATCTATATTATATGTTCATTTGACCAACAGCATATTTTAATTATTTATGTCCTCAAACAATTTTATTATATTGATGGTAAGTTTCGTTTTGTTCCGTTTCAAAAGGTCTCCAAATGCCATGTTGTAATAATATTAGCAAACAAAATATCTCTCTTATTGCTCCCGTTCGCAATTGTAATATGAATGATTAATAGAAGGTGCCTAGAAGAAATAGTGTATAGTTCACCAGTCTGTATTCTTGAAATAAAGAATTGAAAATAATTGTGAAACTCTTAAACACAATCCCGATATGATTAGATCGGTTCAAAGCTTAATTATGCAATGTGAGAAATGCATTAAGGTTTGAGGACATTTCGAACATTTGTTGTGATACTTTTTCCTTTGTTCTCTATTGTTAATTGTTGTTTCTATTCGTTTAAATATTTTATTCTGTATTACTTTGTTTGAAAAATTTAACCATTTCACATGTAATGAATTCATAAGAAGCCATTTTTCTCAATAAACCGCATTGTAAACAAATATATATTCAATTTGAAAATTTTCCAATGGTGTAGAAAGTATATTAAAAATAGGGCTTATCAGAGCCCCCTACGGACGCCTAAACAACGTTGTTTAAGTTTTTCTTCGGATATCTTATTTTGAAATGACAAAAAATATATTTTTTGCAATCGTTTGTAATACGTTATTAATAGTTTTCAGAAGCAAATTGTTTAATATTCCGAATAGTAGTTTTCTGAATTAAAGCAGCACGGTAGGCAGCAAGATTTTATTTTTAAAATTTCCAGTTACAATTTGCACAGGTTTTTTATTTTTTTTTACTAACAATTATTATACAGGGTCGGAAAGTCCCCATGGTTCATCGGCCGTTACGTGAGAGCGATAAAAAAAGTCATAGAAATCCGTGCGATAGAGAAAGATGGCTATAATGATAATTTCGCCCTTCCACAAATAAGATCCACTTCTTATTTGTGGAAGGGCGAAATGGGCGGTGACTATGGAACGCCTTCATTATTTTCTATGACTTTCTTTATCGCTCTCACGTAACGGCCGATGAACCATGGGGACTTTCCGACCCTGTATGTTTAACGTTGAAAAGTTTCATTCCTTAATTTATCGAAGTTTTTTAAAAATTGTATAATTAAGTTACAACCGCGTACTTAGAAAAGGTAAAATAGTAGAGTGAAACAGTTATATTGGTAGTCTAGTTGCCTATTCCACTGTAGGTTCTAAGTACTTATTTTTAACACTATCGTGAAAATATTTATAGAGCGGCAAGTTGTTATCAGTTATAAAATTTAACTGCACTTAAAAGTATACGTGAGAACAAAACTATTAACATAAATATTTTCAACTGCTTTTGCTTAACACACACATACACGCACACACACTGCTGCTTTTCACAATTTATTAAATTTATTTTAATTTGGAAATTAACTCTATGCTTTGCTGTTATTTTGTATATTTTTTTTGCTTCAGTTGTTTAAGGACCCAATATCACCAAAAATCTCTAAGTAACTTTAGATACCAGGTCTTTATATTGACCTTGATAATCGCCAATGGTAAAGTATTATATTTATACTTATAGAAGGTAGAAATCAAGAAAACTAAATATGACATTAAATAAATATTACTTATTAATGTTAGTATTGGTAAGATCCCGATGGCCAAATTGCTTGTGCGCGCATTTAAAATTGCCTAATTTACTAATAACTACCATACATTGAGGGCTAAGGAGCAGAGCGCCCTCGACAGTTTTGGTCTCTCAAAAAAATTTGTACCGTTACTTTTTTTTAATTTTTATCATCGTTTTTAAGATTTTTGTCCTTTTATAAGTTAAAAAAATATATAGAACATTTGTACAACAAAATTCTCAAATGCTATTTGACATTATACATTTACTTTGCTACATAAAGAACTAATTGTGATTTTCAAGATATGTTGGAAATTGTACATGTTATCTTTATCATTCAACGCGTTTATCTTGAAAAGGGTTCGTTGTACGGATAACAAACAAGTATATTTGTTTTACTTAAAAAAGTATGAAATTGTTAGAAACGGCTATAAAAATTGAAAATTTTTTTTTGGGGGGAGGGAACTGTAGAGCACAGCAGCTGTTGGTAAATTGAATACATTTATAAAAATAGTTTCAATTATCACGGCTTTTATTCAACTATTTAATAAAAAAAAAATACAACGAAAATCGATTTTCAACTCAACTTCAAGAGGTAATTCCTCTACAGGGTGATTTGTTTTTTATGATTAAGACTTAACCGTCGATAGATCTCGTCAAAATAATGTAATTTTGAAGTAAACACTTTGTCTTTCAAAGGCTTCCTGTTAGAGACATAATCTCTTGAAAAACATTTTTTGGTTTTTATTTATTTTTTCTTAAACTGAAGGCTATTTGTTTTTTATTTAGTATGAAGTGTACGAATGAAAAACCCTATCAATTTTACAAATTATTGTGAAAATAGAGCGATCATAGGCGTCCGTAAGGGGCTCTCTCTGATAACCCCTATTTTTAATATAATTTCTACGCCACTGGAAATATTTCAAAATGAATATATTTTTTTTTACATTGTGGTTTATTCTCTAGCAAAAAAACATTTTACTATTTTTAAATTAAATGCTTGGTTTTTGAGAAAAATGACTTCTTATGGATTCATTACATAAGAAATCATTAAGTTTAATCTTTGTCAATCCAGATTTTGCTTTTGTAAAAGATCCAATATTTTGATTTGGTTAACTGATCAAGTGATTAGACTTTCGAGTAGACATCACCAAAAATTTTGTTCACGATCCAATCGCCCAAAATATTAGCCGTGAAAAGTACATTTTAAACTTGCAAATAAATCTGACATCTATTCAATTTATAAAATTGTGTTCTTTGCTACATTTATCTGTAGTATATGATATATGTATGTATAGTATACGATTACAAAGGATATTTCCAGGGAGACGAAATACAACACGTAATGTAACCCACGAGATTCTGAAAGAGATATTGTTATGAAAGTACCTTTTTTCATATTGCCTTTATGAAAAGTAATCTCCATTTTTCTTGTTTTCAATGGGTTTGTGGAACTAACAAATTGCTATGTAGATAGTCGTTTTAAATTCTTTAATAGTGAAAATAGGATGGACTTTTAATATATAGTCTTTCCGAAGTCAGTTGAACTTGTATAAAAACGCCTAGCAATAAAATTTAACGAGTTTCATAGGCGTCTCTAATAAAGTTTTCTGCTAAAGGTAAAAAAATAATAATTTGTATATAATTTGTAGAAAATTTCTATTATATGTTCCAACAACATATTTTAATTATTTATGTCCTCAAACAATTTTATTATAGATGGTAAATTTTGCTTATGACATATCAAAAATATTTACATTTTCATTAAAAGATATTACTGCTCGACATTGCTGCACTGCACTGCTAGGCAGTTTGTTAACAATTGAAATTTATGGCCAGTCGCCCAGTGCGGCTGTGTTTGTGCGCTGATTGCCCGCGCGCGCCTTCATCAACTGGGCGTATACGTTTCTACCACCTCCACGTTTAGTTCGACCAGACCTGTATATGGGTATGGCTAAATAAATATGGGAACAAGTTTTTCAAATATTTCAATGCCGAGTTGCTGCGTAGCGACCGAACTTGGTACATACTGCCTAGCTCTTTGGTCTCCAATTGAGATCGGAAAGACTATATCTAAATGTAGTATTTATATTAAAATATCGTTCCCCATTTTTGTCTTTATTTTAATTACTGTGACAAAAAGAACTCTGTTTTCTATATACTTCGAAAATTTATATAAAATCATTTTGTTTGTGTTTGTTTCATTGATAATAAAACACTTGATATAAACAAAAAAGAAATCATACTATTTTGCTGTTACAATCGGAAATTCGGTTTTATTAGCAATTTATGTAAAGACCACGTGACAGGCACTATTGAATATTAAACAAAATAAAAATGTCATATCTCTAGGGATTAGTACAACAAATACAATAAATAATCATTTTGCTTTCGAAGTGATGATAATTTTTAGTCCAACAAATTTATTCTAATTAAATTTTGTTTTAGACTTGTTACCATTTAGACACATTACTGAGGTTGAAAATATTATGCCTACTATAATTAAAGTTTAATACTAACGAATATGACAACACGACTTTTAACAGCTAACTCGTTTGTCGTCGTTTCATCTTTCCATACTGATGAGATTCAATAATCTTAAACAGCGAAATTTGATGGTTCTGTTTTATTTAGAAACATAGAAAGCAGCCTACTAAATATTGTATCAAAATAAATTAAAAATACACAACTTGCAATAAATATGTTTTATTTTTCCCTCGAAAACGGTGCATCATGCCAAAAAAATTGGAGAGACCAATTTCATTCAGAATTGATGGCGGATTTCAAAAAAAAAACGGAAAACGTCAATGGCGTACCAATTTTTTTTATTAAAAATGGTTGTGATGTGGTATTCTCGTACGAACGCCACTTTTGTAAGTATGTAGAAATATTCGGATCACTCCAAAGAAAAAATGCGCATTTATCCCTCCAAAGCGTTTTTCAAATTTCAAGTTAATATCTAAAACTGAAATAATTAATAAAAATAAATAAAAAAAATTAAATTTAAACACTATGTATCTCCGAAAAGAAGCATATTTCAACCTACATTAATATGAACTTTTTTTCACAAAATAAATTCGGCAATCACCCCCTAAAATATTTCGCACTTATTTAGAAACACCCTGTATTGAAACTATACTATACCTACCTACACTACGAATTAGAATCAGCTTTCAATAAATTGCCTTGTTCGGTCAATTCAGAGTCTCTATTATTTTGACAAAAGTAATCTAGGGGTTGTTGGTTTGTTCCATATTTAAAAATTAGTTCATTATTATCTTGTAGATAACACAACCCCACAAAAGAGGTCTGTACCAGATATCTTGTGTATTTTTTGATGATGAATCCGATTTACCAGGGCGTTTTTTAGTAAAAAGCTAAAATGTCCCCTAAATAGGGTGAAATGGTGAGGATAAAGTACCTATAAAGTTTTATAATGAGAAGCAACATTTTAAAATAAAATATTTTGATCATTGGAAAGAAATATACAGGGTGGCCCAATTAAAACAGTCCATCTGAAATATTTTCACTGCAACAGGTTTTTCCGGATAACCCCGAAACAGGTCGGTTTTGCTTTCAAGGGGGACATCTTTTGACCATAAATTCATAGATGTAGGGTCATCCCCCTAAACGGGGTGGGAACCCCTTAAAAAATCTTAAATGACACGGGGGAGGGGGTTAAGCGGCACATTTTAAAGGTATTTCAATACTCTTTACGAACATGCTGATTTTTTTTTGTTCTGCCTGAGGTTTATCATCGAAGTCTTGATAAGGTCATGGGTTTTAGAATTTTTCATGTAGTTTTGTTCCAATTTTACATCAATCAATTTATGATCAAAAAATATCCCCCTTGAAAGCAAAATCGAACTGTTTCGGAGTTTTCCGGAAAAACCTGTTACATTGAAAATATCTCAGGTGGACTGTTTCAATTGGTACACTCTGTATGCAAATTAAATCCACACCAACTAAAAAATATTTCGGTATGCTTTGAAAAGAAAACATTCAGCTATTACTCCAAGCAAAATGTTGACTTGAACTGTAAACTTTGTTATATTAGGTATAGTAGTATACTTTTTTATTGGCAGCTACAAAATTTTTTTTAACTAAACTCGAAATGTAGTAGTAATTGAATATTCAGTTTCCAAATCACACTTTGCCTGTTTTAATTATCTCAAAATTTTCATTTTTCGTGAAGTTACAGCATTATGAAGTTTGAAAGATGTTTATATCAAATTAAAATTTAAATAGGCATAATTACAAAGCTTAATTTTGCCAAAAAATGCCTATTTGTATCTGTCGGTTGATTATGAAGAATAAGGTATATTACACGTATATGTGGAACCCTTTCCGAGATCTTACACTTTTTTATTAAATCTTTTTGATATTTCGGGAGATATAACTGCTGTCTTCTTCGGAAGAAACTCGGAAATTGGAGTTGAAGACCATACTCCAAAAATAAACATTACGTCCTCTGGTTGGTATTTATATTTGCTGTGTGCGTTAGTCTACAGGGTCGGAAAGTTCCCATGGTTCATCGGCCGTTACGTGAGAGCGATAAAGAAAGACATAGAAATCCATGCGATAAAGATGGCTATAATGAAGGCGTCTAATAGTCACCGCCCATTTCGCCCTTCCACAAATAAGAAGTGGATCTTATTTGTAGAAGGGCGAAATGGGCGGTGACTATTAGACGCCCTCATTATAGCCATCTTTATCGCATGGATTTCTATGTCTTTCTTTATCGCTCTCACGTAACGGCCGATGAACCATGGGGACTTTCCGACCCTGTATATTGTTCCCGTGCGTGATTTCAAATCTCTAGCCTGTAACGTCGATTTTTACCAAACCATGATTTTGTCTGGAGAGCGATATGTCTCGAAAACTCGTGACAACCAGCCCATTAATTATTCAGTAATTTTCAACTACCTTGAAAGCCTGAACCTGTCCATGAGTCATATTTAAAAAAAAATACAACTGTATTGTATCTCGGGAATTGAATCCTACGTAAATCCATGTTTTTATTTATTATGATTATTATTGAGAAGAGTGTAATTTTCAAAACAAATAAGATTGCCGAAAAAATTCTGAACCTTTCCAGTATTACCGATTCTGTATTATGAAATAAAAAAATATAAAATATTATTATAACAATCTTTGTCAGTATGAAATGAATATTTGTAAATTATTAGTTTAATTAAGAAAGGAAATCAGAGTATTTTAAACTTCATTATAGAAACGTATTTTTTTTTATTTCAGGAGTTGCGAACTACAGCGGTGAAGATCCTGAAGTGAAAGGATTTGACTTCAGCGATGCAAGTATAAGAAGGGGATTTATCCGAAAAGTTTATTCGATTTTGTGTGTCCAGTTGTCAATTACTTTGGGATTCATAGCTTGGTTCCTATATCATACTCCAACGCGAAAATATGTGCAAAGCCATCCAGCTCTGTTCATTATAGCCTTGATCGTAATAATAGTTGCTCTTATTACTCTAGCATGTTGCGGAGAGGTACGCCGGAAGGCACCTATGAATTTCATATTCTTGTTCATTTTCACATTCGCGGAAGCTTTCATTCTAGCTGTAAGTTCCTCGACTTATGAGTCAGAAGAAGTGATAATGGCCGTAGGTATTACAGCGGCTGTTTGTCTGGGTCTGACCTTATTCGCATTTCAAACAAAATGGGATTTCACTATGATGGGCGGCATTTTATTTGTTGCTGTAATAATATTGTTCGTTTTCGGTATCGTCGCGATTTTCGTCCACAATAGAATTGTTAAACTGGTATACGCCTCTCTAGGTGCTTTGATATTTTCTATTTACTTGGTCTATGACACACAACTAATGTTGGGAGGAAAACACAAGTACTCTATTTCCCCAGAGGAATACATATTTGCTGCTTTGAATCTTTACATTGATATTGTTAACATTTTCATGTACATTTTGACTATCATAGGGACATCTCGAGACTAGGAATAACTCTTTCGTTTTTGTTGCTTCGTTTCTTTTATTTAAAACCAATTACTTATGTGCGAGTTAATTTGTTCAAAATTATAAATGTAGATTTCTGTCGTGAGTACGAAAATTGTATTATTAACTCTGCTATGTATAACAAGGAAAATATATAAGCTCCTGAAATGCAAAATTTATAAAAAACATAACAAGCGTATTAAATTAAATAAAAGTTAATTCTAAATAAGTATTTACCTACTTTTGTAATCATTAAGGTAGAGTATATAAAGATTTAATATTTATATTTATATTATGTACACAATTGTTAAGAGAAGGCACTCTGGTAGACCATAGTCATAGTATACATGTATGTTAGATGTTAGTCATAATATATTTAAACCTATTGGACGTCTTTACCACCTAGATAGATCCCCGCCTCATGTTATCAATAATTACTGTTTTATGAGAAAATTCATAAGATTTTCTTCAATATTTAAAGATAATTTTTAGTTCCTTTTCAGTTTTTTATATTGTTTGTAGACCCATAGTGGATAAAATAATTTTAAATTATTGTATCATAAAAATCTGTAAATATTTCTGTGTTGTACCTATATTAATAATAAATTCTATAAAATATGTTGTGGAAATTATTTGCCGCGGCACAAAATCAATAAACAAATTCTAAAACACTATACTAAAATTAATATCGTCAACAATCATAAAGAGTGATTACCTAAGTATAGAACTTAAGACGTTTTTGGTGTAGGTTTCTATTACTTTTTTTAAAATGATTGATGGCAACAATGTTTAATGATGTAATTTCATATTCATTTGTCATAGGAACATTCTTAGTAAATTTAGTAAAGTTACAGACCTCTAAAGTTACAAACTGAAAACATTTTTGCAAATTGTGCATTTGGACAATACAATACAAACATTATTATGTTTGTATTGTATTGTATATAAACATTTAACTATTTTAATGTTTTAATCAAAGGTAACTAAAAGTTTGTTTTAAAACAAAAATACGTAGTTTTGTTAAAATTTGACAAGAAAATAATTTTGAAACAAATGTATAGGGTTAGTCACTATAATCTGAACTTATTGTGTTTATTATTGAAATTATAAAAACGTTTTTAATATAAAAGTTTTAATTTGTTTTATCTCCGACCCTGGTTACTGAGCTGCCGATGGATTGGGTTGACAATCGTTCACATGTAACAGCATCTCCGCTGGCTCTATAGCGTGGTCCGGTTCAGTTCGGCATCATTTCCACTAATCGTTTTCGTCTACCTTTCCATTTCTGGGATTCTGGAACTAGATAATTCTTACTTGCGTTGTTAGGTTTCCTGGAACGGCTTCGTCTCCTTTATTTCGTGTCGTTGTAGATTGCTGCGAAGGAGTTTGGAGTGGTTTTCGGCGCAACGGCGAAAATTTTGGAAAGATCAGTAAATTTTTCTAATCCCGCACTGCGTTGTCCTGGGAATCTCCATTGACGGCATCTTCACTAGCAACGTTGGCTAGGCTGTCTGGAGCGGAGCGGATTCGGAAGGCGAGTGAATTTTTGAAATCCACTTCAGACCTGTATTACAACATGTGCTATTTGGGCTAGTAAAATCCTCCAAACGTACATAAAAGAAATCCTGTTTCAATTTAACACATGTTTCGACGTAATAGTTCAATAATTAAAAGATGTGCAGTATGTACACGGTTAGTCACTATAATATAACAACGTATTATGAGTTTATTATTGAAAATTCAAAAAAGTTTTGACTACAAAAGCTTTTTAGTTTTTTTTATGAATTTTTATACAGTATTAGAAAAAGCAATTAAAATAATGGAAATCACTAAATTAAAGAATTTTTTTTAATGAAACACCCTATATATTAGTGTATACTTAGCTTCGTTAAATTTTTCTCTTTTCAAAAATATGTAATATGCTACTGTTTGATTCAGGACTTTTCGACATATTTCAGTTTAAAACCATTTTTGAAAAAACAGGAGGCACATTTATGTCTGACGGATTGCAGTGGCTATGGACGATACACGCAGAACAAACAAATGACTTTGACCGAAGTTTATTTATCATTAATTTATTTCCTATAATAAATTATTAACAAAGAAATAATGTTTAATAAGAACGAAAAATGTTGTTATCCGTTTATTTTATAATAAGTAATAATAAAAATTCTTAACTTGAACAGAATTTTAATACCTAATTAATAAAAACCAACTAAAACAAATGGTCACAGATGCCCAATGTGACCGCCACATTGATGCACTTCGTATAATCCTCATTCATTTTCAGAACTGCATTTAGTATGAAATGGGAATTAAATTCACTTAAATTTTGTATACGTTGATTAACTTTATGTCTTAGTTCATCTAAGTTTACACTAGTTTCCTTATAAACCTACTTTTTTAAGTATACCTAATCAGAAAACTGCCCAAGGGTGTAAGGTATGGGCTACTTGAAGGCATCGAACAGTTCCTCCGTTACCAATCCACAAATCAAACCTATTATGTAAATAATTTCGTACTGCTCTTCTTCCAATTTGTTTTCTATTTGATTTTCAAGAAAATGCAGGTATCTTTCTCCAGTCAAAGCACCTTCATAAAATGGGCCAATGATTTTATTTCTCAATATACTGCACCAAACATTAAACGAAGTTGCTTCCTTGACTTGAAATTTCCCTATTACATTGAGGATTTGTCTTTGCCCAGTATTTTTCTATTATAACTGCCAGCTGTTGCAAAAGTCGCCTCATCCTCATCAATTCATAAAATCTTTTAAAAATAGTTTAGGTCGACATTTTTCAAGCGCAGTATTTCTCTGCAGTACTCTACTTGCTGAATTTTTTGATTTTGGCGAGTTTTTGGACCGGCATGGTTTTATTTATATTTATGTAATGTTCTAATAATTTTCGGTAAACCTCGAATGAATATTTGCTTACCTTAAAAATATAGTAATATACTTAGTTGGTTTTAATTCTTCATTTGGGATAACACTTCGTTTCTGTCTTCCAAGAGATTTTGTTTCTATAAAGCGTCGCTCAATGCCGTAAAATGCAGCTCGAGATGGAATTGGAAACCCGGGATGCAAACGATTCACTTTATTATTATTCTTGTAAAAACTTCAAATTTTTCGTTCTCACTTTATTTCTTTGTTAAAATAGTTGGTTATAGGAAATAAATTAATGATGATAAATAAACTGCTTGCAAAGTCATTTGTTTGTTCCGTGTGGCCGCGTGCCCTCCTGTTTTTTGAAAAATAGTTTTAAACTGAAATATGTTGAAAACTTCCGAATCAAACAGTAACATATTATATATTTTTGAAAAGAGAAAAATTTTACGAAGCTAAGTATACACTAATATATTGAGTGTTCCATTAAAATTTTTCTCTCTCTAATTTAGTGATTTCCATTACTCAATTGTTTTTTCTAATACAATACTATAAAAATTCATAAAAAATCTAAAACATTTGTATTAAAAACTTTTTTGTAATTCCAATAATAAACTCACAATAACTTGTCATATTATAGTGACTATCCCTATACATACTGCAAATAATCTTTTAATTATTGAACTATTACTTCGAAACATATGTTAAATTGGAACAAGATGATTTCTTTTATGTACGTTTGGAGAATTTTACTAGCCCAAATAGCACATGTGGTAATACAGGTCTGAAGTGGATTTCAAAAATTTACTCGCCTTCCGAATCGATACTGCGTCCCAGCGCGGCGCGAAATCTTTGAAGATTTCGTCATCGCACTCAAGCCAACGTTGCTAGTGACGATGGCATCAATGTAGATTCCCAGGACGACGCGGTGCGAGATTAGAAAATTTTACCGATCTTTCCAAAATTTACGCCGTTGCGCCGAAAACCACTCCAAACAGCCCAGAATCGCTCCGTCGCAGCAGTCTACAACGGCGTGAAATAAAGGAGACGAAGCCGCTCTAGGAAATCTAACAACGTAAGTAAGAATGATCTGGTTCCAGAATCCCAGAAATGGAAAGGTAGGCGAAAACGATTAGTGGAAATGATGCCGACTGAACCGGACCACGCAACAAGAGCCACCAGCGGAGATGCCCTTACATGTGAATGAATGTCAACCCAATCCATTGTCACTTTCTTAGCCTTTTAGGTATTTACATTTTTTCTGACGTGAAATAAAGGTCTATGTTGTTTGATAATATGAACTGATTCTTGAAATTTGTCCACAGTTGTTCTTCACTATTATTAATAGCGTCTTTGTAAACTGGAGATTTAAGATAACCCCAAAAGTAAAAATCCAGCGGATTTAAATCGGGGTTACGTAGAGGTACCTACATCGCTACTGCGTCCAATTCAACGGTGCGGGAAATTTCTTTTAGGATATTCTCTTATTTCTGGGGTATAATGTGTTGTCAATTTATTATGTCAATGCCTACTACTTTGGAAAAAATAATTTTCCAATTTTATTCCCGCCGAATCTCAAAAACTTAAAACGTCTGTATCTCGAAAATGGTTGAGTTTATCGATTTGTAACAAGTAAACCATTTTTATTTAGAATTGAATGTGGTTCAATAATTTCTAGTAAAAAAATTCAAAATTATTAAATACAAAAAGTTTGACAAATTTTTACATTGATGGGACAGTATAACTAGCGCCCTCTAAACGTGACCCCAATACAGTTTGCATTTTCGTATTTGCCACATCAAAAAACGTAAAACCATAAATTTTCAAAACTTTCAGCCTATACCTACATACTTAAAATATAACAAAAAATAGAAAATATTTTTTCAACTTTATCACCCTGTAGAACGAAAAGGAGCAACAATTGACTGAGGTATGTTTGACTCAATCATCATATTTTGACGTTAACAATCTGCTATTAAGCTGTGTGCCATTATTAATGACTCAGCTTGTGTACTATAAACTAACCCTCCTACGAGGCGCAGTGAAAAAGCCCCTAAAGCTTACAGGTGCTCTACGGAGGCCTCATGCGACTTGATAGTGTCGCGAAATGTAATACAAGCCTGTAACTTCTTTATTTTTTGGTCGACTAAAAACTTTTTTTTATGAAATGTAGGGTAAAAAACTATCTGACTGTGATACTGCTGTTTTTTATTAATACACGGCCAACTAGTGCTCGTCTGAAGATGTATCGAATTTGATGAAACTTGGCGATAAGACATTTTAAGGGATGCTGAATGAGAATATACGTTACCTGTTTTTTTGGAAAAAAAATCGCTAACACCAATTAGTTGTTTTGATGTAAAAAAAAGCGCGTCCTAGTTGGCCGTGAATTGCATTAATAAAAACAGCAGCATTACAGTTAGATAAAGTTCTTTTTATCCTACATTCTAAAAAAAAATTTTGAAATCGGTCAAAAAACAAAGAAGCTACTTACAAGCTTGTGTCATATTTAAGCGCGACCCCCTGTATATAATAAACCCTTTTCGCACGCACCGGAAATTTTATTCGAAGTTTTTTCATCATAAAAGTTATCTATGTGAAAGTTGAAATAATCTAAAAAATTGTATGTGTCCCATAATTAATTGTCAATATATGACCGCTTTTATTTTAATACAACTTATTCATATTTGAAATCCACACAAAAAAGTGCCCTAACAATAGTTGGCCTTAAATCTCTTTCCGTTTTCAATTAAAAATTTAAAACGAACATACATCATAATTTTCAGTGTTTCCAATAACTTCAAAACGAAAAAAAAGGTATGTCAAATTTCTCTACGGTAAGTTGAACCGACATTGTATCTCTTAAGATAACTGAGTTCCCAATGATATGGATTGAAAAATGGACACCCTGTATACTATTTTACTTAAAGCTTATGACTTTCATTATCAGGATTTAAGTATGCGTCCTTATTGAGGTTACTATCTATTTCAAAGGATAAGTCCACCCCTGATACAATTCGTACTCATGCTTCGCTGGCGAAGCTCCCCGTCTGCACTATCTACAAATATTTTTAGAATCACTGTAGATACAGGTGAAATACCAACCTGCGCAACGGAACATCAACTAGTAAGTATTTCGCTCTCACTTTATCATTGCCTTCTTTTCCGTTCGGGCTCGTAAGGCTTGTGCATGGTTATGTTATTTGTTGTTTCAGGTAGTTTCTCTTCTATCTTACGTCAGGTGCGATTGTCGTGAGTGCTTGGAAATATTGTTAAATGTTTTATATTTATTTCTTATAACGTACAATAGGGCTGTGCGATGATTAGTGGAACAGACTTTTATGTGGGAACCAACTCCATATTTCACCTTCTCTGTTGTTTAAACATTAGCCAATAACTATTAAGTTATTGATGGATGTTTATTTAGTTCAAAAGGTAAGTTACAACACTATATATGTTCATCTAATTAGGTGTTTGTTTAACTGTATCAAGAATTTATGTAATTTCATTAGATATACAGCTTATAAAACCAATGGTAATTTCATACCTAGGTAGGTACCTATCTTTTAAGTAAAAAGGTTAATCCAAATGAAATGGAAACATGAAGTCATGGTTAATTATTCCATATTGAATATCTTACATAGGTACCCACAGTAATTATGTTATTAGTTTTCAAGTGTAGGTACTATTATTTATCGTAAATTTGAGCAGGTACCAATTATGGATATGGACTTTACAAATCTGCGAAATTTTGCTAGTTTAGTATGTTCTTTATTATTTGTAGGTTAGTGGAAAGTCGCACTATTTACCAATTAAAAAAATACATTAATTAAGCACCAACTTTTATAAATATATTTCACTTATTATGAACAGGGCCGGGCTTACGCCTTAACAAATCACCTTTTTTGTTTCTAAGCAATACCTTTAAGTCACAGATAGTAGGCAGGTACCAAGGTACACACAGGTACTTACTTACCTGTAGTGGAGAAGGTCAAAGATCAAATTACAACAATTCAGTTTAATATTTCCACTAAATCTCTTTTGTTCACCTTGTCATGACAATGAGCAAGGGCGGAAGCCCAATACATTCTTGTACGCAGGTTGCATTTGACATTAACGAATGTGCACCTCTGTCCTCTGTATACCAATGTTGCAAATTTTATTTTAACTTGTTGGGACATTGTTTATTCGAGAAATGTTGCAATGTCGACGTCAGTTAATACCCTATTGTTTTAAAATTCCGGTAGCAGAAGAATTGAATTCCAATCCAATTATTTGAAAATTTGAAAAACAATTAGGATTGTATTTTTAAGGAATTAATGCAATATACAAAAATGTTAAAAAAGAATTAAGTACAAGATATATCAATTAGGTACCTATATTATTACTTTCTGTTATATACAAACAGTAGGAAACAAATTTTTCAATTCTGTTCTACATTCAACGAATGATGAATTATTAAGGCCAATAGAACTATTATTAAAATTGAATCTTAAGATATTTACCGATCAAAGTTAAGAAGCCATTGATATGTTATTAATTTAAACTACAGAACTATTTAAGTAATCGAATATACAGGATACGTACTTTTGCTGTCTGCATGATTTCTTTTACTTTTTCTGTTTAGGTAAAATATCCATTATCCTATAATAGTACTGTTTACTAAAAGGCTTAGAAATTTAATGTGGTAATACTATTTTTGTTGTTTCTTCACAGAAAATATCCCAGTTTCCGTGCTAATAGTTATTGTCAATTACTTAATTATTGTCAATTTACTTCGATTAGAGAGTATTTATTGAACAAAATAGTGAGTTCAGTATGTCTTAATTTTTCAATAATTTCGTAGATGCAAACAAACAATAATGTCGCTATAGATAAATAGAAAGAATAGGTATATCCTGGAGTGTATATCCAGGTATTTACAGGGTGTTTTAAGCCAAAAAGGTTATAAAGACGTACGTTTCCAAATCGATAATTTTCGAGATATAGGATAGTTAGGTATTGAATTAAAACCTTTTCTAAAATATAATTGTCGGTACCCCCGCCGCAGGTATAACGTATTTATACCCAAAATCCCTTTAATTGGATAAATCCTTAGCGTAAATTTCGTCTTCTATATCAAACGTCTTTAGATATCTTTCAGAAAAAGTAATTTCTTTTTTAATTTCAGTGTTTACGATCAATGTTTGTATAACCTTTTGCGCTTAAAATAACTCACGAGAAGTCGTTGACGTACTTACTTAACACCTTGTATATTAACGATAATTTTGATGTATAGAAAAGCATATACAGGGTGGCCAAATGAAAACGAAACAGAGCCATTTTCAGGAACTGCGTCAAGATTGTAGAAAAACGCTCAGACCCGTCGATTTTAGATTAAAAGGGGACATTCTTTGCTGGTATTTTTGATCGCCACTTTCACCCCCAAGCTAGGGTAAGCATCACCCGAAAATATTTAAATGGCATTGGGGGTTAAGTAATATTTCTTTTGAAAGCTCTTACAATTACAATTAAATCCGGTAATCGTGGAGGCCACTCAATGTTGTCTCTTCTCCCAATCCAATTCCGTAGAAAACGTTAGTCCAAATACTGACGGACAATTAACGCATAATGCGGAGGAGCACTGTCCTGTTGAAAAATCAAATGATCTTCATCATACTCTGGAACATTTTCAATAATATCAGTCAAGGCAGGGTCAATAGCGTCTTCCAGTAATTGCAAATACATTTGGCCAGTCAAATTACCAGGTAGAAAAAAAGGACCCACCAGCCGGTCACCGAAAATTCCAGCCCATACATTTAATTTTTCCGGTTGCTGTGTATGCACCTCGTGAAAAACTCTTGGGTTTGAATCGGACCAATAGCGGCAATTGTGACGATTTACCGTCCCGTTCAAGAAAAAACTGCATTCATCAGAAAAACAGATGTTAAAAAGGAACTGTGGATCGTTCCCTGCTCGCTCACTCATTATTTCGCAAAATTGCAAACGGCGGTCATAATCATCCTCATGAAGTTCCTGGACTAAATGTATTTTGTATGGATGGAATTTATTCTTCTTCAAAATGGTTTGTATGCTAGTTCGATTGATCCCAGACACAGATGCCAGCTGCCTCGTACTTAATGTAGGATCAAGATGAACTTGTCCCAAAACTGCAACTTCACTAGCTTCATTAACTATAGGTTTTTCAATTTCTCGTTTTTTATTGGCTACGTTCCCTGTCTCTTGAAATTTTTTTACTAACTCTAGAACATACTTCCTCCTGACATGTCGATCTTGATGTTGTTCATTAAATAGCTGAGCTGTTCTATTCGCACATTTATTGTTCATAAAGTAAAGCGAAATGATATCTACCCTTTCCCCAATGGAATAAACCATAGCGTTTAATTTTCAAAAACACAATTAAATAAACTACCAAACCAACGCTTCCAAATAATACTAGAAAATAATTTGGAATCCACTAATTTTACGTTCATTGTGCGTGTAAGCATTTTTTTTCTGTTTTTACAATTGTGTTTTTTTTACCACAGTGATAACAAATCGCCAAAATCCAATGTAACACAAGAAATACTAAATTTATACCATTGGCGTACTTAACACGAATGACTGACATTTTTACCGTTACTAATTGTTTGTACATAAGTTTCAACTTTAAAATCAAAATTCTTAATATGTATTGAGCGAAATTATAAAATTTAAAGTCTGTTATAAAGATAATTGTAAGAGCTTTCAAAACAAATATTACTCGACCCCCAATGCCATTTAAATATTTTGGGGTGATGCTTACCCTTGCTTGGGGGTGAAAGTGACGGAGTCAAAGATACCAGCAAAGAATGTCCCCCTTCAATCTAAATTCGACGGGTCTGAGCGTTTTTCTATAATCTTGATGCAACTCCTGAAAATGGCTCTGTTTCGTTTTCATTTGGCCACCCCGTATATAAGTTCCGGAAACGTATCAATTTGAAAACAGAAACTAAAAAATATATAAACTTGTTATAGTATTGTGTTTAACACTGTACGTATTTGGCGTAAATTTTTACTGTCCTTGTTTAAAACGTCCTAACTCACATTTTTTTTTTTATTATATTTTGGAGCTAACGTCCTATTTTATGACCTTTTGTCATTCTGGTAAGTTAAAGTATTTTAAAGTGTTTATAAATATGTATATGTTCATTGGATTCCGATGCAAAACGGGCCAAAAACTGCCCCGAATATTACTTAACCTAACTTACTGCATCGGCCACATCTACTTCATCACCCATTTTCAAATGAGATGAAGCTCACGAGCATATTGTCAACTCATCCGCACCCCCTATACCAACCCTTCTCCCAATTGCCCAGAATAGAATTATAAGTTTTGCGTTGTATACAGTCATTAAAAATATGTTTTAAATCGAAGAAACCAAAAGTGGAAACTTTTTAAAATTATTATCCTCATCCAAATACGTTATAAAAATTTCTTTCCCCGCCTTTGACTTCCAGATGTCAATGTCGATTGATATGTATTCCAGACCTTGCTCTAATAATTCTCCTATATCCTGTTCTGAGAGGGTTAGTTTCGAGGGGGAAACCTCTGGCTAAAATTTGTACACTAAAATACTTTTCTAATTATTTATTTACTCAAGTATTACTCAACCAATAGAGAGACCGAGGCGAGGGGGAAATGGCGCATGCGCGAATCGTAAATATAACTTGAATAATTGTATTAATACCCAAATATTACAGATGTATTACTCAAGCCTGCACACTAAATTACTCCTGAAATTATTCACTCGGTTAGCTGAAATATGGTCGTCATGCATCATTATCAGTACCATCACATATTAAAAAGTTGTCATTGGATACTGGTCGTCAACCGCCTCTTCACAGAAGTGTTTTATGAAAATGTAAAACAGTTTTTAGAGGTGTTACCAGGGACAATATTTCATATGCGCAAACGTATTAGCTTCCTCATATGTCGGTGGTCTGTTACATTAGCATGGTAATAAGAAATAAACCAAGAAAATATAAATATGAGGTCAAAATTATGAAGTTTTATATCAATATCCTATTACGCTTATTTTGTTTCGAGCTGAAATTTTCGTGAATAAATCAAACCCGCTATTAGTGTTTAATGGTTGCTTGTTAATAGTTTGCGGTCGGATTTATGTAATATGTGCTTGTTTTCTAATATAGTCAATGTGAATTCGAATATATAAATAGTAAGTATTAAACTCGTCAACTTTGTAGTAGATTCTAAATGGTGATTACCTATTAATACAATAATTGTCGGTTTTTAAATGGTATAGAATAATAAATGTCCATTATACAAGGTGTTAAATTGTCTTCCAATAATTTCAGGACGAATAAAACATAAAAAATAACTGTACTCTTAATAAATATGGCAAAAAAAAATGTGTTATATAATATAATTATGTATAAATATTTATAGGTTCAAG